CAAGAATCGGTGATGCAGACAGAGGGGGATGAAGTCAGAAACCAGTGAGGAAGTGGGAGGAACACAAGACAACTACCAGATTTCCACCTTGGGATGCTGAGTGACTGGTGTTGCAAATCATAGAAGAGAGAACACAGGAAACAAAGGTTTGGAGGAGAAGGTGATGAGTTGAATGAATTTGGTTTTGCTTTTTGAATTTCAGGGGCCTGTGGACCATCCAGGTGGACATGATCCCTTGTCTTCAACAAATTTCTTTCAGGTCCCAACTTAAATATACAGGGTGGGGCAAAAGTAGGTTTACAGTTGTTCATATGGAAAGTAATACAATAATTAATAAATAATACAAAAATGAACTTTTGTGTTTTATGTACTCACAACTATAAGCCTACTTTTGCCCTACTCTTTAATACTATTAGTCTTCCACTATGCTCACACTAGGTTAAATCTCCTGCCTCACAGTGCCAATGCATCTTACATTCCTTTGTGGAACTTATCATGGTTGTAATGTTAATTTCTCCAGCATCTTTCTTATGCCATCACATTATAGTCTTTGTGAGGTCCGAGACTGGGTTGACTGGGTTCCATGTCTGTTTGTCCCCACCATTGTGTACCCAGTACTTAGAACGGTCCCTGGCAAAGCAAACATTAACTGAGTGAAGGGATCTATGTCCTGGAGGTCAATGGATGCACAAGTGTGTAAGGAAAGGTCTGGGCTAGAGAGAGGTAGATGTGGGTATTATCAATATATAAGTTATAGTTAAGGTTGTAAGAGAAAATTAAATCTCTAAAGAAAGGCCCTGGCTGATGTGGCTTAGTGGATTGAGTGCCAGCCTGCAAACCAAGGGGTCACCAGTTTGATTCCCAGTCACAAGCCTGGATTATGGGCCAGGTCCCCAGTAGGGGGCGCACAAGATTCAACCATCCACTGATGTTTCTCTCCCTCTCTCTCCTTTTCCCTCTCTCTAAAAATAAATAAATAAAATCTTTTTCAAAAAAAGAAAAAAAAAGATGTAGACTGAGAAATTAATTGGGGTCCAAGATGGAACTCTCAACTACGCCAATATTTAAAGGACTCGCGAAAGAGGAGGTGCCTTCAAGAGTATCTTAGAAAAAACAGCAGTAACTAGGGTGGCAGATATGGTAAAGAGACTATCAGCAGTGATTCTGATAAGAAGGGGGAATTAGAGGAATTAAGTGGGGCTGATTATTGAGTTCTGGCTATCAGACCAAGAACTTTGGGTCTGGACTCTTAAGCAATAGGAGTGTCTGAATTTTGATTTAGAAATAGCACTATCACCAACTTCCAAACCTTAGGTACCAGTTGATTTGTCCCCTTCTTCATCTGCTCTGGTTACTATAGTTCATTTGAGCAAAGGATAGGAATGGGAAAAGGGGAACAGCATTTCAGACATGGGAATGGCATGTGCAGAAGGCCCAAAGAGAATACAGCTCATTTAAGGTATTGAAGAGTCTAACATGGTTAAAACTGACAAAAAGGAAACATGTCTTGGTGGGTTGGTTTGAGCCAGACCTTGGAGGACCTGAAACATATTTAGAAGTTTGGACTTTCTGCTGAGAGCAAGAGGAGCCATTACAGAATTTTCAGTTAACTTGCCTTCTGGTACGATTACTGTAGCTGGAATATAATGGTTGTGTAACAGACTGCCCCAGTTTGCCTTAGGACTTTTAAATAGGTAGAGAGATTGGGAGGAAGATACAGATTGGACAGATCCATACATGGTTAGATAGATACTAAAAATGGAGATTAAATGAAAGTTTACATACTGAATGTTGAACCTTGTACCAAACTTACTCATCAAGTTCTAAGAATATCTACAGCCAGGCTTATCTCCTCCAAGAAGAAGTTTGAAAGAGTCTTCTCTTGAGAAATCTGATTCAGATAAAAAAAAATCCTAATGATACTGACAGCAGGGTGTCCTCAAGGAACCCATAGTCAAGTCCACAGTCAATATGCCACTCTGCCTCTCACATACACACCCAGATTTCAATAAGTACTTTAGTGTGCCAATTTTATATATGAGCAGACAACTGATGATTACCAGACACTTGAGGAAAGCCTCTAAAATGAAAGATAGAGAGAGGCCAAAACAAATAGGAAAAGAGAAAAAGTCCTGGCTGGTGTGACTCAGTGGATTGAATACTGGCCTGCAAAACAAAAGGTCACCGGTTCAATTCCCAGTCAGGGCACATGCCTGGGTCGCGGGCCAGATCCCCAGATGGGGACATGCAAGAGGCAAGCAGTGGATGTATCTTTCATAAGTCGATGTTTCCCTCCCTTCCCCCCTCTCTATAAAATAATTTCTTTTTAATTTGAAAAAAGAGAGATAGAGGGAGAGAAACTTAGAAGAAATAAAGACTGTGCAAGGAGAAAAACATTAAAACACACACACACACACACACACACACACACACACACACACACACACTCACTCTCTCACTCATGGGCTCTCACCAGGTAGCTCGTTTGGTTATAGCATAGTCCCAATATGCCAAGGTTGTGGGTTCAGTCGCTGCTCAGGGAACACATTGAGAATCAAACAATGAATTAATAAATAAGTGGAACAACAAATTGATGTTTCTCTCACTCTCTCTGTAAAATCAATGTAAAAATTTTTGTAATTAAAAAAACTTTTTAAAACTATCATGAGTATCTTCAGACAGATAAGAAAAGGATGTACAGGGTCTGGCACAAATAATACCCCTTTTTATTACAAAATCTTTTGTTACAAAATCATGAACATGTAATTCTGTAAGATAATAATATCACATTCAAGCATACTATATGACATTTTAGGTGAAATGTTCATATTAAAACTATAAATTATTGCACCCATGTTATCTTACTAACCACACTCAAGCAAGTGTTACTTCTACCAGATCTTGTGTATCTATGAAACAAAAACAGAATGCTTTAAGAGTGCAGAAAACATCCTAACCCTTGTAGCTGGATTGAGCCTAATCCCACAAAGCAAAAGGTCGCCAGTTCAGTTCCCGGTCAGGGCACATGCTTGATTGTGTGGGTTTGGTTCCCGTTGGAGCACATGCTAAAGGCAACAATCAATGTTTCCCTCTCACATCACTATTTCTCTCCCTCTTTTTTTCCCCTCCCTTCCCCTGTCTCTAAAAATGAGTAAGTAAAAAAAAAAAAAAAAATTTTTTTTTTTTTTTAAATGTAGAGAGTGGCCCTGGCTGAGTGGCTCAGTTGGTTGGAGCATTGTCCCATGCACCAAAAGGTTGTGGGTTCAATCCCTGGTCAGAGCACATACCTAGGTTGTGAATTTGATCCCCAGTCAGGGCTCATACAGGAGGCAACTGATTGATGTTTCTCTCTCTCTTTCCCTTCCTCTCTCTAAAAATCAGTAAAAATATCCCGGAGTGAGGATTATAAAGAGAAATGTAGAGAACAAAAGAGAGCTGTTATAAACTAAAAATATAAAAGAAAAAAGATTGGAAAATAAAACTTTTAAAAAAATCTCCCATAAAATGAAGCAAAAAATGAAGATAGGAAAAAAGTAAAGAAAATTGAGGACTAGTTCATGAGATTCACCATTTAGATAAGAAGAGTTCCAGAAAGAGATAATAGAAATAATGGAAGGGAGAAATATCATCCAAAATAATAATTTAAAAAAAAAGTTTTCACAACTGAAGAAAATGCATTTCCAAACTGAGAAGACCTACACTAAGACATTTCCATGTAAAATTTCAGAATGTTAGAATAAAGAGAATATCCTAAAAGCTGAGGTTGGGGAAAGAATGAAGGAAGATAAAGGTAAGCTTCATAGAGATGATCCAAAATAAGAATGGTTTCAGGCTTCCTAAGAAACTTGAAGCCCTGGCTGGTGTGGCTCAGTGGATTGAGCTCCAGCCTGTGAAAAAAACGGTCGCCGGTTAGATTCCCAGCGCAGGGCACATGCCTGGGTTGCAGGCCAGATCCCCAGCCGGGGGCACACAAGATGCAACCATACATTGATGTTTCTCTCCTTCTCTTTCTTCCTCCTTTCTCCTCTCTAAAAGTAAATAAATAAATTCTTTAAAAAGAAAAAGAAACTTGGAGACAATGGAAGAATGCCTTCACAATCCTTCGGATAAATTATTTCCAAACTAGTATTCGCTACGCAGCCACACTCTCAATTAAGTGCAATCGTAGAACAAAAACATTTTCAGACTTATGAAGTCCCAACAAATTTACCTCGCAGGCACTCTTTCTCAAAAAGCTCCATCAAAATAAACCAAGGAAGAGGAAGACATGGCTCAATTGTGAAAAGTATTTGCATAATCATAGTAATGTAAACACTAAACACAGATTCAACAAGATTATGATATAATGCTGGGAAGATGGGAGGAGGGAAGTGGGTGATGAGGGGACAGCAAGAGTTAGCAATAGGAAGTCAATAGCTACTGCCTAAGACAACATTAAGAAGTAGCAATACTCACATGCTATTTTGAGTTTGTATATGAAGGTGAATACAAAACAAAACACAACACAATTTTAAAACTTACCTGGAAATGATTGTCTTTGAAAAGTGAGGGGGGTTGGAAAATGGCTGTTGTTTCTATATAAGCCCTATAGAACAACTTGACTCTAAATAACATAATGTATATATTGATAAAAATAACGCCATGAAGATGGGTAGTTACAGAAGGAGGCTGGGAGATTAGTTAGGAAGCTGTTGTGATTTTCAGAGGTGATAGTGGAAGTGTGGGTAGGGATGTGGACAGATTTGAGAGACATTTTAATTGTTTTCCCCATTCTCTCTTTAAAAAGCCCTCACAGTAAATGCTCTCCCCTCTGTTCTTTCTGCAATGGCCAGAACCCAGGCCTTATCGCCCCATACCTAACAGCCCCAAACACCTTGAAGGAGGCTAATGAAGTGATGAGTGGGCCAGAGCCCCATGGATTGGCTGCAAAATGGAGTGATGTTGAGTGCAAAGACATCATGCTGTGAAAACTGGTAAATCTAGGGCCAAGGTGAGAGAAGGACATAAGTCTCAAAACTCTAAAAAGAGAAGACAAAACAAGATGAGGGCAAAATTTGGAAGTTTCCTAGTTTAGACCCTTTTCTTCTGCATTAATGTTTAAGCTTTTATTTACAGTATTCATTTTTTTCAAAGTAATACACGGGCATTGCACAAAATCCAGACGTTCCAAAGTGCTACCCTGCCTGGTGTGGCCCAGTACTGGCCTGCGAAGCAAAGGGTCGCCAGTTCGATTCCCAGTCTTGGGCACATGCCTGGGTTGCAGGCCAGGTCCCCAGTAAGGAGTGTGTGAGAGACAACCACCCATCCACACCAGCCATGTTTCTCTTCTTCTCATTCTCCTTCCTTTCCCCTAAAAATAAATAAATAAAAACCTTTAAAAAAAAGTTCCAAAGTGCTATACAGGAAACGTGGTCTCCTTCCTTCTGTCCCTTGGCCATCCAGCTTCTCTTCCCAGAGGCAAGTGCACTCTCTGCTTGTTTGTTTATTCCTCCAGAAATAATCCATTCTGCATTTTAAATTTTAAAAGCTCCATCACTGCCCTGGCTGGTGTGGCTCAGTGGATTGAGTGCCAGCCTGTGAACCAAAGGGTCGCTGGTTGCATTCCCAGTCAGGGCACGTGCCTGGGTTGTGGACCAGGTCCCTGGTGGGGAACACACAAAAGGCAACCACACATTGATGTTTCTCTCCCTCTTTCTCCCTCCCTTCCATTCTCTCTAAAAATAAATAAGTAAAATCTTAAAGAAAAAAAAAAAAGCCCCATCACTAAATGGACCATGTTTAAGAGATATCAATTCCTGTCAGATTGAGTTGAATCAAGGGTAAGATGGTATTTTTCTGGTTCTCATCTGTGGAAGTGGTTGACCAGCTTCACTGTCTCTTGATCAAGACTGTCCTTAAGGTCCATCTGCAGTAAATTGGTTTTAAGGGCCAAAAATTGGCACTACTCTGAAAGAATTTTGGACCCTGAAGTGTTTGGTTTGTCTGAATCATATTTTTTCACTTGAATTTTAAGATGGATCTTCAACTCTCTAGACTTTCATAGACTGTTTCTTACAATTTACACATTTAAGTTATCTGCTTATCCCCCTTCAGTATTCAACCAACGGTTCATCCGCAAAGGGAATAATATGCCACCATGTAAAGCGATGACAGATGTATGTTTAATTGCATGGAAAGATGTAATATATTAAATGAAAAACTAGTTTGGAAAAGAGTATAATCTCATAAATCCCTACACACTTAATTAATTACACACACACACACACACACACACACATATACACGTTGACAAAAATCTTAAGAATTAATACCACCCCTGGATGGTGTGGCTCAGTGGATTGAGTGCCGGCCTGTGAACCAAAGGTCATTGGTTCAATTCCCAGTCAGGGCACATGCCTGGGTTGTGGGCCAGGTCCCTGGTTGGAGGCATGTGTTTCTCACACTGATGTTTCTCTCCCTCTCTTTCTCCCTCCCTTTCCCTCTCTCTGAAAATAAATAAAATCTTTAAAAAAATTACTACTAAAGGGTTGATATAGTTATGCAAATCAGGCTATGGATCCTTTTATTTTGTATTTATATTCCAGTTTTTCTAAAACAAACCTGCATTACTTTTGTAATAAAATATTATGAAAGTAGGATATGAGCCCATTCTTCTCCATGAGTCCTAAAGGTTTGTTTTGGTTTTGCTGAACTGACAATAAAGGTTTTGTGAATTTTGAAAAAGAAAGAACACTAGGTAGCTGAGCTGATTTTTAAAAGAAAATTTATTTATTTTTAAAGAGGGGATGGGAAGGAGAAAGAGAGAGAAACATTGATGTGAGAAACATCGATTGGTCGCCTCTCACAAGCACCCTATGGGGACCAAGCCTGCAACCCAGGCCTGCGCCCTGATCAGGAACTGACCCAGCGCCAGCAATCTTTTGCTTTGCAGGGTGACATCCAACCGAGCCACACCAGTCAGGGCCGTGCTGATCATTAGAAGTTGGGGCACCTGGCCCGGACTGGCATAGCTCAGTGGATGGAGTGCCAGCCTGCGAACCGAGAGGTAGCTGGTTCAATTACCAGTCAGGCTGCAGGCCAGGTCCCCAGTTGGGGGAGTGCAAGAGGCAACCAATCGATGTTTATCCTGTACTTGGATGTTTCTCTCCCTGCTCCCTCCTTCCTTCCCCTCTCTCTAAAAATAAGTAGATTTAAAAAAAGTCTTTTTTAAAAAGTTGGGGCAACTGGCCGGGTAGCCCAGCTGGTTTGAGCGTCATCCAGCTATGTGAAGGTTGTAGGTTTGATTCCCCAGTCAGGGAAAATACAAGAATCAACCAATAAATGCGTAAATAAGTGGAACAACAAATACACGCTTTTTCTCTTTCCCTCTAAAAATCAATCAATAAAAGAAATTTTAAAACTGGGGCAAGTGGGCTTTTCCAGTGCCCCTGAAATTCTACCACCAGATGGCAGCCTACTCCCTGGGCCTGTCTCAATCTTGGCTCCACCGCAGCTCATCCGGATATTGGAGGCCTTTGTCTTGGTCCCAAAAGTGGCCAACAAGCCTGTGTGCCAAGCTGGCCCCTTGCTCTTCTTTTCTCTATATTCCACAGGCCAGAGCCAAGAATTTGACCCACTAAAAGTGAAAGTCATCTTGGACCCACTTTGACCTCCATGAGCCACTGACCAGCACACTGAGGAAAAACCATAAGGAGGCTGAAGCATATCAATTCATTAACTCCTCTACCCAACACCACACCAGGATATAGGAATTATCATTTATTTTTCATCCTCGGTAAGGAGGTAGAAAGACCTTTCCTTCGATTCTGTTCTTTCTGTACTTCAGGAATGTTCACCCTTAATTCTCCTTCCTTCAGGGAGGCCTTTGGCAGTAGAGATGGTATCTGAGGAGTGATGGAGCTGGTGAGGAATAAGCAGCTCATATTGAGCAAGATCTCTGAGGGATGGTGTCACTTGCCTGCCAACTTCTTCATCACCTCTCCTTCGAAGCAAAAGGAGTGCCAGCCCTCTGCTTCGGTCAGATCTTGGGCTCCTAGGACCTTGTACAAGTCCATGGCCCCCTTGTTCCAGTCCAAGACTGACAGGCGGAACTGGGAGCAGCCTTTATCCAAGGCCACCTGTGGGAAAAGACATCACTAACTTTCCTGGGAAAGGCTCTCTCACCCTCCATTCAAGCTGGGTGCCTCCCATACACCTTTGCCTTTCCAGGGCCCGGCTGGTAGCCCCACCGCACTACTCACCTCAGCTACCTTTTTGATTATTTTGGAACCAATCCCCTGACCTAATGTGTGGGGGAAGAGACAGAGAGGGACTGTGTGAATCGAAGGAAATCAGAAAAGCCACGGGCTGGGGTTAGATGGTAGGTCTACGGTTGCTCTTCTCCCACCCCTGCCTCAGCCTCTGTCCTGTACCCCGGTATTCCGGCTTAACATAGATGTCTTCCAGATAAATGCTGCGTCCCTTCCATGTGCTGTAGATGAAGTAGTATAGCCCATAGCCCACCAGACAAGGGCCTGAAACAGAGAGAGAAAAGAGAGGTCAGGGAACCCAGGTTGGGAGTGGCCTCTGAGTCTGACTGGAGAGGAGACCCCTGCGGTAGATGTGTGTTCTTACCCTGTGGCTCCCCGGGGCTGGGCAGACTCTCTGCTACCAAACAGTAATAGAAAGGATTCTCTCCAAAGCCATCTGCCCTCAAGGCTGCACAGATATAATTGTGACAGAGAAAAAGAGAACCTGGGTGCGTGCCCAGCCTGGAACTACTGCCTGGGGAACCCATCCCTCGCTTCCTCCCAGCCTCCACCAGGACCCAGGTGCTGAGCCCCAACCTTCTTCAGAGATCTTCACCTGATCCGAGAGTTTCTCAAACTCGGCTAGTTCCTATGGCGTGGGGACAGAGACCAGATTAGCGCAGGAGGGCCCCGCAGCTCCAGGAGTGGGACCCCAGGGCGCGCTCCTCCCCCCTGCTCCCACCTCCTCTCTCTGCTCCCACCTCCTCCACCAACTCCCACCTCCTCCTCTTCCTCATCCCGCCCCCACCCGACCTCCTCCGCACCCCCGCCTCCTCCGCGGGGTGCGCTCTGACCCTCTTTGAGACCCTGGTTTCTGGCCCGCAGACTTAACCCGAATCATCTTCAGAATGTTTCCACAGTCTTCTTCCTTGGCGTCTCGGATCCGCACGGAAACCATCCCGATCCCCACGGTCTGGGACCGAAGTCCAGGATCCCCACTTCCTTTCTGCAGGACCCGGCGAAGGGCAACTGGGGCTCTTTAAAAGGGAGTACAAATTTGGATCGCGAAAGCCAGAGGAGCGAAGCGGTGGCGAGAACCCCGGGCTGGGAATCCGAAGCGCGATTCTGGCTACCGCGGGGCCGAGGGAGTGGCCAGGCAAGGCGGTCCTTACTGCCTAGTGGCCCCTAAATTCTGCCCCAGCAGTCGCTCACCCGCCAGTCAATCAGCTAGCAGAGAACGCACATCCCCGCCCCCCCGCCCCCAGGATGGTGTCTCGTGACTGGGCGCCTGGGCAGGGGTCAAGGCCTGGCTGCCGCTCTCCGCAAGGCTCCAAAGAAGAACCCGGGTCCTTCTTTAACTGAAGTGTTCTGTGATTATCTGCTCTACCTTTTACTCGCACTCACCCATTCTAGCCTACCCAGACTGTTCAGACTCCCAGCTCTGAAAGTTATGTAGCTATGGTTCTTGGGTAGCTCAAAGTGTTACTTTTCTGGAGACATTTGTATTTTTAAATGGGTCAAGAAGTGGGTGATGAATTTCTGTTGGTAGATGGTTAGGCCTTGTAATAAATTAAGAAAAGAAGATAATTTAGTGTCCACTAATTCCCACTCAGAGGCAATACCTTCCTATGAGGCAAGCCTCCGAGGCCTCTGCAGGCACTCAGAGCAGATACCAGGCACTGCGCCTGCGTTGTCCCAATTAATCCTCATTCACAGTAGAGTAGGTATTATTTTTCACGCTTGACAGACAGGGACACTAATGTACAACCGCAGACTTATCTGTCCACAGTCACTTACCTAGGTATTTGGGATTTGGTGCCTTGGCTCCAGTCCTGACCGGCATGGTGCTTGAGGAGCAGGGTAGGACTGTTTCTACACCTCAGGCCTGTTTAGGCAGCCTCCCCTGGTAGGCAGAAGGCTTGGAGAACCCATGTTAGGCTCTAGAGGAGGAGAGGGAAAATGGGGTGCACTCTCCCAGCTCAAACTTTCTCCGCAGTGGGGGAGGGTGGCGGAGGAACTCTGTGCCTCATCCCTATTTGTCCCCTCAGAGGAGTGGTAGGATCAGTGCCCCTGTTTCCTGCCCCCCTTCTTCCCCCAGGGGCAACCTTTAACCTTCCACTGATCACGTGGCCATGCTCCAGGCTGCCTGCTCTTATGCATTTGCCCCAGAGTTGTCTGAGCCACAGAGAGGACTGCGGCTGATTATGGAGTGCAGAGGTCCTCTGGCCAAATCATGTTGGCTGCTGCTGCTGCTGCTGCTGCTGCTACCTCATAACCACCAGGGACGGGTTCTGAGACAGATTCCCCCTACCCAGGTGCAGGAGCGGACAGGGTACTCAGCCCGTGTGTTTAAATGAGCTACATTTTGTCTCTGCCCTCTTCCTTTCTTTCCTCCTCTGGCTCTGTAGCACTGCCTCTCTCTTTGTCTGTCTCTGGGATGTCCTTATTCCACTTTGTTTATTTTCTTTCTCGGATAGGGGAGCCAGGAACCTCCTGCTGTGCACCTCAGCAATGGCCCAGGACAAGAGCCTGTCTCCATCCTGCTCTTTAACCTCACCAAGATCACAAAGTATAGAGCTGGCCTAGTCCCTTTACTTAGTCCCCTGACCCTATCGTCTCCATGAGCTCTTCTCTTTTCCCTAGCTCACCGTCCTTCTCTCTCCCTTACTTTCCCACCTCTGTAAGCCCCACATTTACCCTCAAAGGGAATACCCCATACACAGCCCTTCTTTCTGTGCCCTTCCAGAACTTCTTCCTTCTTTGAGTTTCAAACCTGGGATCCAGAAGAAGTGATTTTTTCATGGTGATAGCAACCCAAAGAATGCCTGGTTTATGCTGGCACTTCGGGATGGCAGGCCTGAGATCCAAACGCACAATCCGTGGGCCCAGCTTAGCGTGGGAGCTGCGCCCCAGCTGGATGATGGGAGGTAGCACCAGGTAAGCCAGATCTGGTCCTGAGGGGAACGGTGCCTTGAGTTGGTCTGAGGAAGAGGAACAGAATCCAGTTATTGGGCATCCTGTTATCATTGTCATCTCATTTAATCTGAAAGAAAACCCCATTTTTTCAGAGGGCTCTAAAGTTCAGTCAGTATATAAGCGACAGATCCTAAGTGAGCCAAGGATGCTGGCTAACTCTTCAAGTGCATGTTCTTTCCACTATACTTGGCTGAATCTGAAGAAATTAGTGCAGGCAGGTCCCAGGGGCCTCTGATTCTGCTTCTCTCCTCCTGCAGGTAGAAGTGAGGACGCTTGTGGACTCAGTGACCCTGGGGGTGGATGGGGAGGAGGTGCTGCACCTGAGACAAGTCTCTGGGCCTCTGGTCAAAAAAATCCCAGCCCATCCTGAGGTTTGCTCTAGGGGGGCTGCTGTTCCCTGCCCCCAACCTCCAGTTGCCGGTAGTTGTATCACAGAAGGGCCTAAAGCCACATTTGTGAGAAGAAAGGATGGGAGAAGAGCTGTGAGGGGGAGGCCAAATGCTTGTGTCATGGAGGGGAATAAACTGAGGGCGAGGAGGCGGGCACTGGGCTCAGATGCCCCAGTTCTGACATCTCTGCCTTTTCCCTCCCCCGACGGGCTCCAGCTGGTCTCTGCCCTGGACGCCTAGCCTAAGCAGGGATGCCTGGCTGGACCAACAGGCTCAGATTTCAGCGTGGGCCCCTCCTAGCCTCAGAAGCTGTGCTGTAGAGTCCCAGCCTGGGATGGTCTTCCCTCCAGGGACTCGTGCAGAATTCAGTCTCCGAGGTCGAGGCTATTTTTCCCCTCCATGGCCAGCTCTGTGTTTGCCTTTCTCCATCTCCTTCCATCACAAGCCCCTCCCTCCATGAATCCTAGTATTGAGGCCTCAGGAGGGTCATTTCTCCCCGCAGATATTCCCCAGCCCCATGTAAAGCCCTAGACCTTCTCTCTGGACCTGGGACTCCAACTAGCAGCAGGCTCTGGCCACCTCCTTGCCCTTGAGACCCCAGAAAACCCTTCTTGGCTCAGCCTCCACCTCCAAAATCAAGTAAGAGGGGAGAAACATCTGTAGAGGGGAGAAACACCTGTTTGTTGTTCCACTTACTTATGCATTCATTGGTTGATTATTGTATGTGCACTGGCCAGGGATCACACCCACAATCTTGGTGTAGCCAACTGAACTACCGAGCCAGGGACAAACAGCTTTTGTTTAGATAGTTTGTTTACTTGGCACAGGTGTGGCCTTACGGAAGGTCTAGCCGGGAGACCTGAGGCGGAATTTCGGAGGTGGGAATGGCCAATGGAAGGCGTAGCTAAGAGGCAGAATGAGGGCAGCTAGGGATGTGGCCACAAGGAGTAGATATGGTTCATTCTTTCCTCCCCTACTTCTGTTCCTGTCCCACAAACTCTGCAGAAGGTGGTGCTGTCTTATGGGCCCAGGCCAGAGCTGCATCTGCCGCTGGCCTTGGGACTCCCTCTTCAGCTGAAGTTGGATGAGTCCAGGGTGCTCTTGAGCCAGGGGCCCAAGAAGATCCTTGCTCTGCCTCCCGTGGGCCTTGACTCCCTTCTCAACCTCTGGGCCCACCCCCAGGGGCGGATCTTCCTGGGGACTTTGCCAGATAAGAGAGAGTGATGTTCAAGTTCCTCACCACACTATTGGAAACAGCTAAAGGCAGAGGGGAAGAGAAGAAAGGGGTGCATTTTGTGGGGAAGGAAACCTGTAGGAGCTCAGAAGAAAAGGCCACAAGAAGAGAGGATGGGGGCAGTGGGAGGAATTGCTTTAACAAATTTAGTTTGGAGGAAGGAAGAAAAGTGGGGAAGAGCTTCTGGAGCCAAACCACCCTAATGCCCTCATGCCCCCTCCATGCCCCCTCCCTCTAGGAGAGACCTCTTCTGCCTCCTCCTGCTTGGACGGCTTTTGGGCACAAGACCAGAGGCTAGACATGGATCGGGCCTTGAACAGAAGCCAGGACATCTGGACTCACAGCTGTCCCCAGAGCCCAGGCAATGGCACTAATACCACCCATTAAATCCCCACCTAAGAACTCCCTTTGACTGTCACTCATTTATTTATTCGACAAATATTTGTTATACAGGTGCAACGTACCAGTCATGGTGCTGAGCATTGGGTTGTGTTGATAAGCAAAAACAACCATGGTTTCTGCCCTCTTGATGCTCACAGTGCCTTGGAGAAGACATGTATTCATCAAAAACTAACAAATAAGTGGATAATTGGAAACACTGGTAATGCCATAAAGGAGCAGTCAGGGAGCTGAGAAAATTTGTAGATCAGGAGCCTTAACCTACACTGGGGATCAAAGAAGAATCTTGTGAGGAAGCAGTGAGGATCCCCTGAGGATCTCAGGCTGAGATGCAGCAACAGCACCCACAAACACACACATCAGATACAGATATAGATCACCTTTTGGGAACCAAGAGCCCACCTCCTTCTCCAGCAGATACCTACGCCCTTCCCTTTGGGATTTTGGCTTCCTCTTTCTGAGGATGGTCCTGAGGGGTCAGGAAGAAAGGGAAGAGAAATTGAATTCTGTTGTGCTTTAGACTGGCCAGTGCCGTTCAAGGAAGGAGCAGCAGGGGGCATGAGAGGGTCATGGAGAGATGGGGGCAGGGGTTTTGGTAAAAGGGGTGGAGGCAGTAGGGAGGAAGAAAATAAGCAAAGGAAGCAAGCCGCCTCTGTCTCTCCTAGTTTTGGTCCACTTACTGCATTCTACTCTATTAAGCAAGAAGCAGCTTGTGTTGGTCCTCGCTGGGATGAACAGACAGATTCAAGAACATCTCAGAATATGGTGACTCAGCCCTCAACCTCCAGACCTTTGAGGAATCCTGGTGCCCCAGCCCCTGCCAGAGTCACCCTTCCTGCCTCAGCCCCCTGCTTCCTGGGAAACCCTCGTGTCCACGCCTCCAGCTGCTAGCACCCAGCTCCCAGTCTTCAACCCTCTTAGGAATCCTTGTGTCTCCCTAGGGAGCCCTGGGACTGCAGCCCTGAGTCCCCACCTCTCAGTCCTCTTCCCTCTCAAGAACTGTTTAGCTTAAAAGGGGCTTCTGTCTGTTGTGAGTGGCACACATGAGGCAGCTTGATTGCTCTAAGCGCAGAATCGACACTAAGAGATTTCAGAAGCATAACTTTTTGGTACCTGGTATCTGGGAAGCTGGTAATCATTAGTCCTGGTACCTGTAAGAAAGAGAGAGAGAGAGGAAGGAAGGGGGAGGGAGGGAGGGAGGAAAGAGTGGAGAGAAGGAGGAAGGACAGACAACCTGGCTGGTGTGGCTGAGTGGATTGAATGCTGACCTGTGAACCACAAGATCGTGGGGGTTGGATTCCCAGTCAGGGCACATGCCTGGGCTGTGGGCCAGGTCCCCAGTAGGGGGCGTGCAAGAGGCAACCACACAGTGATGTTTCTCTCCCTTTCTCCCTCCCTTCCCCTCTAAGTATAAATAAATAAAATATTTTAAAAAGAAGGAAAGAAAAACCTGTTAACCCATGGGCATGCCACTGTCCCAGCCTCCCAGCTTCTTACAAAGATCTTCCTACCAGTAACACAGGCAACAACGTGGGTAACTCACAGGATCTGCTGTCCCCTTCTGCCAAGACCTATATGAAATCAGGGTGAGAGGCTCCAGGAGAGTGTCTAGGGTGGAAGACACAAATCCGAGACCCCTCCATGGACCCTCCCAATCTCAAATTTGCAAGATCTTACAGCCTCCACCCAGTTACAGTGTTTCAGTGTTTTTTATTTTTATTTTTTATTACTTTTTAATCCTCACCTGAGGATACATCCACTGACTTCAGGGAGAGAGGAAGTGGGAGAAAGAGAGAGAAACATCCACATGAGAAACATCAATCAGCTGCACCCCCCCGCCCTGCACTCCTACCAGGGATCAAACCCACAACCCAGGCACGTGCCCTGACCTGGGATCAAACCCACAACCCTTTGGTGTATGGGATGATGCTCCAACCAACTGAGCCACCTGGCCAGGGGCAGTCACAGTGTTTTGTAGGAGTGTCCTAGCATGGGCAGGGAGCCCAGATTCAACTTGGGTCTCTGGGCAATGTTTAGGATCAGCCTGAGCCACTTAGATATGTCTATTCAACTGATATTTATTGGGCACCTACTATGTACCAGGCATGGTTCCTTACACAGAGGACGCATTGATGAAAAGGACAAACACACCCTGGCCTGGTAGGTCAGTTGGTTAGAGTGTCCTCCAGATACGCCAAGGTTGTTGGTTCCATCCCCAGTCAGGGCACATACAAGGATCAACCAACAAATGCATAAATAAGTGGAGCAACAAATTGATGTTTGTCTCCCTTCCTCTTTCTCAAATCAATAAATAGAAATTAAGGGGAAAAAAGGTAGACACAAACTCTGTTCTTATGAAAATAGGGAAGGGGGTGGCCAGACAGCCCATAAACAAGAGAAACAAATAGGCAAGATTATTTCAGTTAGTGGTTAGCTCTATGAAGGGAATGAAATCCAATAAAACCCAATAGTGTAACCAGCAGTGGGGGAGGGACAACATTAGCAGGGTGGTCAGGACAGGTCTCTCTGAGGCAGTGCCACTTAAGCAAAGACCTGAATAATGCAAAGAAACCAGTCCTGCAGGGGCCTCCAGTGTGGGCCAGTCAATAGAGAGGTTAAAGTGCCTAGACAAACCTAAGTCCCCATGAAGGAGGTTGTTCTGAGTGGCAACTTCCTGACCTCGTGTCCTGAGGAATCTCCCAGGGGCTGACTCTTCACTCCTCCCTCCACCGACCTGTTCAGGACACCATGCCCCCAACCTCTTTCTCCAGCTTGCCCTAGATTCCAAGATTCCTGATTACCATTCAGAGCTGTCTACACTCTTTCATTAAGGCTGACTTTGCTTTGACACAGACTCTGCCAGGCCCCCACCAAGGGCAACTACAATGCCTGCCCAGTGTCCCCTGCCTCTTCCACTTCCCGAAGAATCTTTCTGGACCTTGGCAGCATGTCCTGCAGCCTCCAGGCTTGGTTTCCCCACTCACTCCACCCTCCCCTGTGCTCTCTATTCCCTCCCTCCTTTCTTCCCCCCCTCCCTCCTTCCTTCCTCTGCCTCTGTTTGTCTTTTCTTCAATTAACATTTATCGGCTGCTGACAGTGTGCCAAGCGCTGTGTTAGATAGTCCACAGCGACTCGAAACATGAATAAGACTTAGTCCTGGCCCTGGAAGACCAGGGTCTTGTGAGACAGATAGACAAATATGTAGTAGAGGTCCCTACTGAGTGCCAAGGAACCTGGTTTCAAGCTCTCTCAGGGATCCTGAAAGAGGAGAGTTTTGAAAACGTAAACTTGAACAAATGGTTAAATCTCTTTAAATTACAGTTTCCCCATCTACAAAATGGGGAAGCTGCCCTATTCATAGCCTTCCTGTCAGGATTTGATGATACCATGTAGGTCAAATGCCTAGCATAGGGCTTGGCATAAAGCAAGTGCTCAAGATGTGAGAGATGTTGCTCTTGTTGATATCATTAATCTTGTGCATATTTCTTGAAATACAAGTCTGAGCCTGCAGACTCAAAATAGATGAGCCTGCAGACTCATAAAAGATGTGGCCAAACCAGGGACAGGCTAAGATGGAAGGAGGGCGGGCTGGGGACATTCCTTGGGCCTCATGGTGAGAGGCCTTATACGTCCTGATGATGAGCTGGAGCTTGATCTATTCAGCAAAGGAACATCTGTTTTTCTTTTCTTTCTTTCTTTCTTTCTTTCTTTAGTTATTTGTTTTTCTAAATAAATTGTGGTAAAATACACTTAATAAAATTTACCATCTTAACCATGTTTAACTGTACAGTTCAGTGGCATTAGGTATTTGACAGTGCTGTGCAACCATTACCACCATCCATCAGCAGAACGCCTTTTTCTTTTTTCTTTTTCTTTTTGGTATAAATTATAAAGGAAAGTTTATGTAGAAAGTTACAGAGGTAGTAGAAGTGAGCCAGCTGGGCTTTGTAGGCTGAGGAGACAAGTTAGAGAGACAGAAAAAGGGTCCTTGCTCTTGGCGCTTAGGAGAGAGAGGGGCGAGTGTAACATGCCGGAAAGGGAAGAAGAGGCGGAAGGGAAAGGCGCCTCGAGAGGGAGAGTTTACCCATCTCCAGGACTCTTTATTTCAAAAAATTGAAACTCTGTACCCGTTAAATAATATTCCCCATTTTCTGCCCTGGCTGGTGTGGCTCAGTGGGTTGAGCGTCGTCATTGCGAACTGAAAGGTCGCCAGATTGATTCCCAGTCAGGGCACATGCCTGGGTTGCTGGCCAGGCCCACAGTTGGGGGTGTGTGAGAGGCAACCGATGAATGTTTCTCTCACCCATCACACACTGAGGTTTCTCTCACTCTCTTTCTCTCCCTTCCCCTGTCTCTGAAAATAAATAAAATCTGTAGAAAAAGCACTCCTCATTTTTCCTCTCCCCACCTCTGTGTTTCAGAACTCTCTTCTTTCCTTGTTCTTGTCTCTGCAAAGACCCATGTTGTTGGGAACCCAGAGAGCTGAGCCCCTGGGACTGTGTGGATGTTGTGGGGGCACAGACTTCATGACTGGCTCTAGATATGGGAGAGGGGTGTGGGAGCTCTTATGCCTTTTCTGGAGATGCTGGGGGGAGGGCAGTGTTCCAGGAAGAGTTTGGAGATTTGTAGTGACTCTTTGTACTGCCATCCCTTTCTTAGCTTTTTTCTCCTGTGAACACCGATGGGGCATTTAGAAGAATGTTCCCTCCTCCCCTGTTCCCCACCCTCCTCATGGTGCTCCTCGCCTACAGGAGAAGAAAGCATAGACTGGAGTAAAGTTCTCTCCCTCTTCCCCCGGAGCCCCCTAAATACACAGAAGACATTCACTCATTCTTGAGCCTGGATGTCAGCCTGGAGGCTGTCCCAGGCCTGTGCTAGCCAAATTGTGCACCTCGAGGGTAGGGTCCAGGTCTCATCTCTCCAGATTAAGGCTGTCCCATTTTTATGCTCCTTGCCTGGTGAAGGAAAAGACAAATCGTTTTCCTGAGGTTTCTTGCGGAAGAAGCCATTCCGTGTTGAAGCCCATTCAGCAACCAGACATTATCTTCAGTAGCTCCGTGGAATGCTTGGGAATGCAGGATAATTGCAAAGACTAAGATAAAGGCTTTCTCTCAAATAGCTTACAGTCTGGTTAAAAAGATAAAATACAGCCTTGGCTGGTGTGGCTCAGTGGATTGGAGTGTTGTCCTATAGACTGAAAGGTCACGGGTTTGATTCCTGGTCAGGGCACATACCCAGGTTGTGGGTTTGATCTCCATTCAGGGCACATATAAGAAGGCAACTGATCGATGTTGCTCCCTCACATTAATGTCTCTCTCTCTCTTCCTTCTTCTCTCTCTAAAAGCCAAGGAAAAAATGCCCTTGGGTGAGGATTTAAAAAAAAAAAAGATAAAATACACATAAGAGTTTTCAACCCAGTTGATCAAAAAACAAAAACATAAGCATTAGCCTTAATTCCTCTATTTCCATCATCCCCACTGTTCATGTCTCTGTACTTCTAAAGTACATCCTGAACCTAGCCTCTTGTCTCCATTCGCAAACCTGCTACCCTGGTCCAAGCCATCCGCGTCTTCCACTTGGAAGACTTCCTAACTGGTATCATATCACTCCCCTGCTTAAGACAGTAGAATTGCTTCCATGATGGTTGGATTAAAATCCAAGCTATTCCCTTTGGCCTACAAGGACCTGTACGATTGGGTCCCTGCCTACCTCTCAGATCTCTTGCTGTATCAATCTTGCCTCCTCTCCCTGCAGCCCAGCCTTTGCTCTTGCATTTCCCTTCTCCTGGAAAGCTTTTCTCTGCATCCCCCGATGGCTCCTTTGAGTTGCTCAGGTATTGTGTTATAAGTCACCTTTTCAGTAAGGCCATCCCTGACCATCCAGGGCACTGTCTGGCACATCACGCTGTTTTGTTTTTGCCTGCATAATATTAATATCATTTTATTTATTTGCTTGTTTTAATTGTTTATTGGGATGGGAGCCCCACAGGCACAGAAACTAAACAGTGCCTGGTTCTAAGCAAATGCTCATTAGATACCCATGAAATGAATGAATGGGAGCTGGAGTGGACTCTGAAGGATGAGCAGCCTTCTGGGATGAGGAAATAAAGTGGAAAAGGTGTGAAGTCAGGAGTAAGCGCAGCCTGTACTGGAAGTGGCTGGCTCCACTCCAGCAGAAGACTAGTTGGGGCCTAGTGGGAAAGGGGCTGGGACACAGGCTGGATCTAGATTGTGGAGTACCATGAAGGTTAAATGAAGAGTCAGGACTCTGTCCTGTACGGTAACAGGAAGCTAGTGAGCTGAGAAGTGGGCTAATTAAAACTGTATCTTTTAAAAAATTTTTTTTAGTGATTTGAGAGAGAAAGAGAGGAACATTGATTTGTTGTTCCACTTAATTATGCATTCATTGGTTGATTCTTTTATGTGCCTTGACTGGGGATGGAACCTGCAACCTTGGCATATCTGGACAATGCTCTAACCATTGTCTACCTGGCCAGGGCCTAAAACTGTATCTTGAGAAAATTAATCCAGAGCCTGCTGCAGAAGGGACTGGAGCAGGGCCAGCCACAGAATTTTTGGGACCCACAGCAAAATGAAAAATGCAAGATCCCTTGTTAAAAAAGCAGGAAAAAGATGCAGTTCAAGGTACTGAAATATAAGATGTTTTTCTTTCTCCCACAATTATTTTTTCGATTTCTCATGGCATTCTTTTTTGAAGATTGTGTTTATTTTTAGAGAGAGAGGAAAGGAGTGAGAAAGAGAGGCAAAGGAACATTGATCCTTTGCCTCTCACATGCCCCCAACGAGGGACCTGGCCCAAAACTCAGCCATGTGACCTGACAGGGAATCAAACCAGTAACCTTTCAGTTTGTGGGATGACGCCCAACCCACTGAGCCACATCAGTCAGGGCTCTCACAGCATTTTTAATTTGCGATTTAATGTTGTTCATTTTTCTATCTTCAGTTTATTGATGAATATGGAAGGGCTAAAAGGAAAAGGAATTACACGTTGCCCTAGCTTTTCATTCTATGTCGTAATTGCCAGCGTAAGTGGTCAGCTAAACCAGGAAAGTAACATGACTAAGAAAGGATATGATAGGATATCTTGATCATCCATGTCTCCTAGAAAGCAATTGCCTTCTTTCTGTTTTCAAAGCAAGTTCTACTTTGAATGGAAAGTTTGGCCCCTCAGCTTTCAGCACCTCCACTTATTCAGGTGTAGACATGACACGCTTCCTTTGTACTCGCTTTGAGTCTTCCTGAACTCCCATGCATAGTGGGTTTACCAGAGTTCCGTGCTCATGGAGCTTCATGAATGGCCTATTGTGCATATTGCCTCTGCTCACAGGCATGCTCCATTGTCCCATTCTACTTCATTTACAAAGCACAAGTTTAAAGATAAAATTATGAAGAATTTCAAGATGGTGATAGCAGAGCACTAATCCGAGCACAAGGCCATTCTGAGCATGGGCCTTGTTTGACTGAGCAGATCCAAGTCCATGAAGCTAACCCTGGATTGGAGGGAGAGAGTGGGAGGGAGAGAGTTTGAGGGAGAAAATGACAGTCAAAAAGGGAGTTGTACTGACCAGCATAGCTCAGGGGGTCGAGGCATCATCCTACAAAGTGAAAGGTCCCTGGTTCCATTCTTGGTCAGGGCATGTGCCTGGGTTGCAGGCCAGGTCCCCAGTTGGGAGCGTGTGAAAGGCAACCAATCGATGTTTCTCTTGCACATCAATATTTCTCTCCCTCTTTCTCTCTCCTTTCCCCTCTCTCTGAAAATAAAGAAATAAAATCTTCTTCTTCTTCTTCTTTTTTTTTAAAGGGGGAGTTTTTGAGGACTAGAGCCAAGAATTTAGGATGAGAGTTGAAAGAAGAAAAACTCATGGAAAAGTGACAAGAAGAGAGATGAAAAGAGATCATTATTCTTAAATGAGGTCTTTAGAGGCTCTTGTATCCCCCAACTAGACTGTGGACCTCTTGAGCCCTGTGAGAACTTCCGTCTTAGCTCTCCAGGGCCGTGTTCCTCAAGTCTCTAATACCTGCTCAACACAGGTTTATTGACTCAAGTGGGCCAATGAGGAGAGAATTCAGACATGGGGGCGGCAAGAGGCAGAACAACGGACCAGGCAGAACAGCAGACCCGGCTCCAGGGCTGGTGTCTCAGAGCAATGCAGGGGGTTGCAAGGACTTCACTGACACGTGTGGCAGGGAGACCGGAAGCTCTGAGGCTTGGAGAGAAACATTTCGTGGTGGGAGAAGGGCCTGTGCGAATGGAGAAGGAGGTGTTGGGGGGAACTGGCAGCAGCTTCCACAGGGGTACTTCCCTCCCGCGGTGGCCTCTATCCATCTCTATGTGGTCTGTTCTAACTTCCATCCTGCTGGTCTAGCACCCTGCCTGGTCTCTTCCGTTTTTCTTGGTTTCTGGCTCTTTCTCTATTCCGTTCACATTCTGCCCTGTCTCCTGAATCTTAGCCTCTTTCTAACTCCTTGTCTGGGGTCGCTCATCTCAGCTTGTATCTGCTTCCCTCTCATTCTGCCTCTCTTTAGGGTTATATTTCTTATCCTGTCCAGACACTCCCTCTATCCTCTACCCACCCTGATCCAGTCCAGTACCTGGGATGGGGGTGTGGGAGAGACCTCCTGGTCCCGAAGAGGCAGCAGGGGGCGGGCCCAATCCATCTCTAATTTGCATATGTATGAGGTTGCCCGGGCCAGTGGCGGGGAGGCGGGGCTTCTGGGGGTGGGAAGGGGGCGGGCACCCCCTTAGCAGCAGACTATAAAGACTGCGCGCCGCGACTGCCGGCCCGCACTGCTGAAGAGCGGAGCCTCGGGCAGCGGAGGGGGCTTTCTATCCCTGGCTGACCCCAACTGCGCGTCCCCAACCCTCTCCCGTAGCTGAGGCTACCACTGGTGTGGCGGTCTCTGCTTGGCGGAAGTCTTCGGCGATCATTCGACCCCTCTCCACAGCCTTTTTGAATCCAGGATTTCGGGGCGGCCCCCACCCCCACCTCTCTCTCTCTCCCTGCCTCTTTGCACCCCGTTTTGTTCTGCGTCTCTCTTTGATTTCTCTGCCGTCTATTTTTGCATCCTTTTTCGTTTTGTTTTTTTTGGAGGTGAGGTGAAGCTGCACTCGTACCCCTCCCCTTTTTATTCTCCCCTGCTTTGACAGCCCCCCTTTTCTTCGCAGTCGGGAGCCCTAGGATCGGTGCATCCCACGCCGCGCTGCCAGCAACCCGCAGCGCGTGGCCGTGCACCCCGGAATTTGCAGCAGTTGCATATCTGACGGGGCTCTCCCTCGCCCCGGCTGCTTTTGCTCCCGGAGCATTCGGGTGCGTGGGAGGGGGGCTACAGCGTACCGCACCCCAGCTTCTCTGTAGTCCCCCGCCCCGCGCGGGACTCGTCCCCTGCCGCCAAGATGGTCATCCAGAAAGAGAAGAAGAGCTGCGGGCAGGTGGTTGAGGAGTGGAAGGAGTTCGTGTGGAACCCGAGGACGCACCAGTTCATGGGCCGCACCGGGACCAGCTGGGGTACGCGGGGCGGCCGGGCAAGGGTCGTGGTGGTGGGGGTCCCCTGGGCGACGCCCCGGTGGTACGAGGTCCCGCCCGTGTATCCCCAGCTCCCTTCCCCGGTTCCCGGCATCTGAACCCCCAGCGATGCTCTGGGCTGGGAGGGGACGGAATCACAGGTTTAATCTCCCTGGCTGGCGCTGCGGAGGCGGAGAAAGTAGGTCACTGCCGCCTTCCCGCCCCCTGCGGAGCCCCCTCGAGCGGGGGGTCGCGGGCTTTGAGCCTGTGTCCGCGCCGCGGCGCTCGCGCTCGGTTTCGGAGGCCGGTCAGATCCACACAGTCGTCCTCTTTCCCTCCCAATGGCTCCCAACCTGCTAGCCAAGCCCATCTATTTTTAGTTCGTGCCCACCCCCTGAACCCTGGGAACGTGCATGAGAGGGCGGGTCTTGGGAGAGATGGAGGGGGGAGTGTTGGAGGGGACAGTTTCTCGTAGCGGAAGTTGTCTGCATCCCACAGTCAGCGTTTGGAGCCATCTGTGGCTGCTCGGTGGGTGGGGGGCTGTGGGGGAGAAATAGCACTGTGAGATTTTTGAGGCTGAATGTTCCTCTTACATGTCGCAGGCAGAGGGAGGGTTGGTCACTAGTGATGAGCTGTGTACATCATCTGGCCTCTGTGTCTTTGGGATTGGAGTGGCAGGACTCAGGATGTGTGGAGGAAGTTGTGTCTGGTTGGAGGTCTGGTGCTGGGTATGTGTGCAGGGGACAGGTGGAATTCTAGCCAAAGGGAATGCCAAAAGGGGAAGTCTAACCACAGGGGACACTGTGTGACACAATGTATGGTTCATCCACACTGACTGATGGATGTCCCCATCAGCCCACCCATCTGGGGCCCTTAAGGTGGGTCCAATACAGTCCATCCTGCAGGGAACCTGTAGTCCATTCCTGGGATTGGAGAGTCCATGAGTGTTTGCAAGAATCTGAGGAGGCTTCATCGGGGAAGTGTCTTTTGAGGTGGAAGGACTGGGGGGTCCCCACTGGATACTCACACTAGGTTGAGGAGTGACAGAGTGCCATGTCACATCCACCAAAGACCTGCTGTCCGCTGGGAAAGCTGTGGGAGGTTCTGCCTTTACTTTCTGCCTCTGCCTGGGTGTTGTGTGTGGGCTGGGGGTGGTGTGACTGTTGGAGGTTCTGGACAGCTGTCTCTGAGAGATTCTGGGGCTAGATAGGAGCTGCGTTCAAGGTTTGTCTTCCGTGGGGCACCAGGAGAGAAAAGATTTTGCTATTTAAGTGTAAGGGTGCACGCTCTGAGGAATGGGATGAGAGTTTTGCTTGTGAACGGTAGCCAGTGCCAGCTTAAAAAAGTCACTGTGCTGGGGCAGGGGGTATAAGGGGACTAAATGGTAATGGGGAAAAAATACAATAAACATTAAATTAAAAAAAAAACAACAGTCCCCATGCTGGACAACTTTAAGCATAAGTACCATCCAATACAGCAGTAGCAGATGTGCTTTTGCAGGGCCATGAATGGTTGAGAAGTTGGGAATGTAATTTGAGGCAAAAGGACTGTGGCCTATACTTGGGGTTGTCCCAGCAACGAGAGTTTAGGTCTCTTGTGGCCTCCACAAGGTCAGGCTTCACTGTGCCCTGGGACCAGGGGGGGGCTGGGAGTCATGGCTGGAAGCCAGACACAACTGCCTGTTTTCAGCTTATCTCGTTTTGCTCCTCCCTGGGAAGGCCCTAAGATGTCCCTGAGGCTCTGTGACCCTTCCCAATGCAGAACCTCTGAGTGGGAGAGGGGTGTGTGGGATAGGTGAGGCTGCTCACCCCCTTTTCCCCTCCCTAGCCTTTATCCTCCTCTTCTACCTCGTCTTCTACGGTTTCCTCACCGCCATGTTCGCTCTCACCATGTGGGTGATGCTGCAGACTGTCTCTGACCATACCCCCAAGTACCAGGACCGACTGGCCACGCCAGGTGAGTGATGAGGCTCTCCTAACCGCCGCTCTGAACTGTTCTTAGATCCCTAAGCCTCCAGAAGGAACTCACTGACTGAGAACTCAAAGTTCTCAGAGGTGAGGTTCTGGGGATCCAATCACCATGTGCTGAGAAATTCAAGTCTGACTTTTCCCCCATTGCCCACAGCTGAGAGCTGTGTGATCTGGGGAGATCTTTCTCCCATGAAGAGGATCTCAGATCTTCACCCCAGCCTTCGCCCTGGTGTTCCCTATGTCTGTCTTCTGTCTTCTGTGTGTGGTCCCACATCATATACACCCCCATTTCTGCCCTTGTCTGGCTATAGGCTTGATGATCCGCCCCAAGACTGAGAACCTTGATGTCATCGTCAACATCAGTGACACTGAAAGTTGGGACCAGCATGTTCAGAAGCTCAACAAGTTCTTGGAGCGTGAGTGTGGGGCAGGAGATGTGGTTGTGCAGGACCTTGGGCAGGGGATTGGAGACCTTAGAAGTGGAACGTCAGGCCGTGCTCTCTCCCCACCTCCTTAGCTTACAATGACTCCATCCAAGCCCAAAAGAATGATGTCTGCCACCCTGGGCGCTATTATGAACAGCCAGATAATGGAGTCCTCAACTACCCGAAACGTGCCTGCCAGTTTAACCGGACCCAGCTGGGTGACTGCTCCGGCATCGGGGACCCCACCCACTATGGTTATAGCACTGGGCAGCCCTGTGTCTTCATCAAGATGAACCGGGTAACCATGACCTTGGTCTCCAGGGAGAATGGAGGAGGGAGCTGGGGGCTACCGTCTACTGGCAGTTGCTTCCCTTCACAGGGGCCGATAGGCGTTAAGAGAGATTTTTGGATGTTTGAGTGGCTGAGAGAATAAGAACGATGGGGCCCTGGAGGCTGAGACCCATGGCTGGAAGGCTAGAATCTTGTGTCTGAGACGACTTCTTTCTCTAACCCTCACCACTCTCCTCACTCCAGGTCATCAACTTCTATGCAGGAGCGAACCAGAGTATGAATGTTACCTGTGTGGGGAAGGTGAGTTTTTCGGGCTTTGGCCACTGGCCCCTGTTTGCATACCATGGTTTCCATGTAATTCACTCATCTCTCCCAATCTTCTTTGCTCCCAGAGGCCCCCTCACTATAGGGACAAGGGGGTAAGAATGGGCTCCAGTATGGCTCAGACCGCAAGGGGCTCCTACCTCTCCTGCTTCCCTAGGATGCAGAAGCCTGCTTCTGTGCGGATAGACAGCCCACTCTCTGATTCTACCTGCACCCTGGCCTCTGGCTTCTCTCCGTAACCTTTCTACCTTCTCTATTTCCTGATAACCGTGTCTTCTGCTCTTCCTCCCATATCTTGTCTGTCCCTCAGTTCTTTTTAGGTATCTGGTAGCTGCTGATCTGTTAGCACCATCTGCCACTACTCAGTAGTCCTTGGAACCCTGCTCTCTCCACCTCTGTCATATCTAGAAACATCCTGCCAGCTCTTCCCTCACCCCCTCTCCTTGCGTCCTACTGAGCTCTTACTCATTTAGCTGTTCTTTCTTGGCTCTGCTCCAGAACCAGTTCCTGAGGACAGGGTAAGAACTGGAGGGGGGAGTGGAGTAGGAGGCTTCGGTGTCGTTAGCGCCCTTCAGGACTTCCCAGTCTGTTGCAAGGGAGACAGGATGCCTCCTCCTGCTCACGAACGCACACACACACAGGCTCACAGCTCAAGGGAAAAGGATTTGGGCAGAATATCTGGGGCGCAAAAACAAAGGGAAGCCTGGCAAGCTTCGGGGTTCCTTCTATCCCTAATAAGCTCTCCTTTCTACCCTCCTGTGCCCCCACAGCGAGATGAAGATGCTGAGAATTTGGGCAGCTTTGTCATGTTCCCCGCCAATGGCAACATCGACCTCATGTACTTCCCCTACTATGGCAAGAAGTTCCATGTAAGTCCAGTGGGAGGCCCCGGGGCGATGGGTCTTCGAGGGGAGTGGGGTCCTTGAGGAGGAGGCCGCCTTGCCATGGGCCTGGACCCTCACTCTCCTCCTTGGGCCCAGGTGAACTACACACAGCCCCTGGTGGCTGTGAAGTTCCTGAATGTGACCCCCAACGTGGAGGTGAACGTGGAATGCCGAATCAACGCAGCCAACATCGCCACAGATGATGAGCGAGACAAGTTCGCTGGCCGAGTGGCCTTCAAACTCCGCATCAACAAAACCTGAGACCCCTTCCTCTGGCCCCCACCTCTTTCCTATGGATGCTTCTGGAATGTCCCCCTTTTCCTTTACTTCTGAACCCAGCCTGATTAATGTACATTGTGATTCTCTACTTTCACACATCTTCCACCATCTTCTCCCAACCCTAGCTCAGTCAGAGACGGGGAGATGGGATCCCAAGGTGGTCACAGAGGAGCCGTTCTGGTTTAGCTGGGAGTGGGGTGTCCCTGCAGCTACCCTCCTATTGCCTGAGAGATACAGAAATGCCCACCCACCTACACACACACAATCTCGTTAGCCCCTTAGCTTCCAGGCAGGAATGTGGTCCCCCTACCTTCGATTACTAAGTGCAGCTGCTGCCCCCTTTCTCTGTCTCCCACACTTTCTCCCTTGAACACACTGTTGCTGTCTTGGTGGCTGTTGACTCAACGTGGCTCCTCTGGTAGGACTTTCTTCACCTCTTCTCCATCCCTACTCTCATTTCAGCACAGGCACCTTAGAGTGAGTTTCTTCCCTATTTCCTGGCACATTCTACTTCTCATCCTAAGGTCCCTGCGTGAGCTGGGAGTGGGATTCTGGAAGAAGAGTCTGTGTTTTCTTGGTAATCCTCTTCCTCGTCTCTGTCACCCAAATAAGCACTCCTCAGAGGGGCAAGGTTGACCTAGGCTGAATATCCCCTTTGTTTTTGCCGATGGCTCCCTTACCCCGGTCGGATTTCCCAGAATATCCTTCAAATTCCACTTTCCAGGAGGCTTGGGGGAGGGGCAGCGATTTTGGATCTGCCCCCAGTGGCCACGTTGGGAACGGCAGCAGGCTATGGGACTACTCCACCTCCTTCCCCGGGCCCAAATCTGCCCCCACCATCCTCTTGCTGGCTTCCCCTAGCAATTTATCAACTAATCACTAACTCTTTCCCTTTCCTCAGCATAACAGCCCGAAACTTGCAAATACCCCCTAATTTTAGGCCTGAATTTCCTGGCTTCATTTTCTTCAGATCCCTCTGCAATTTTAAATGACCTCCTAGTGACCACAGAATTGTAACAGAAGGACCTCCCGTATTCTTGAGTTTCAGAGGTGTTTGAACTTTCTCCTCCAGTGCCCTTCACTTCACCCCTCTAATCTCACTTTTCTCTTTTGTGCTGCAGCCTCCACACCTACCCACAGACAGAACCTTCCCTTGTTCCCTTGTTCCCTTGCCGGACCTGGGTTTCTTCCCTTTGGGTCTCCGCATTTTCCCGCACTCCCCTCACCCCAGTGGTCTCTCTCCGCAGTTATTTAATGCCTGTGTCAGATCTACTGTAAAAAGAGGATTAAGTACAATAAAATGAGAGCAATTATATATATAAATATATATCATACACGGAACCCTGTGTGTGGGTGGTTCCTTTCTGAGCTTTTGGTAGAGCCCTGGCAAGGAGATGGAGGGGGATTCGAGGGATCGGAGTTACCAAGGCTGGGGGCCGCTCCCCAGATTTGACCTCTGCGGCCTGCGGTGTTTCAGCAGCTACCTCCTAGACCACTCTTTCACCTTTAGTATCTTGAGACCACATGATACAAGAGACAGGAAGCCTATGTCTCTTTGTACAGCCATACTTATGAAGTGCCTACTATGTGCATTCTAGGCACCGAGAGGACACATTTGAAAGAGGCAGAGTTCGTGTCCCCAAGGAGCTGCCCAGTTTAACGGGAGAGGTGAGGAGCACACGAGGAACTCATACCAGGTAGACCTAAACTTACCTTGAGAAGGGAAAACTGGTGAAGACAAAATTCAGAGTATTCAACTACTTCCTGCTGGGGGCTTCAATAGAAGGTTTCTTAGAGGATTAAAGAGTGAGACAGTTTGGGGTGAGAATAGCATCAGCAAATGAAAGGAGAAAAATTGACTAGAGGGAGGGATCTCAAAACAGTATGAACCTTAGGATCTTAATTTCATGTAAAAAGAAAAGCACACATATAAACATAGAGATAGGGATGGATGAGTCTATATAACATTTACTGAGGTGTATGGGATGGGTTTAGAGCTAATTTTTTTCTTGGGGCTTATTCGCTTTTGTTTGCAATGAGTTGGTCTTAGTATTTGACTTGAAAAATAGCTTTGCCCTGGCTGGGTACTCAGTTGGTTAGAGCATCATCCTGATACCCCAAGGTTGCAGGTTCCAAGAATCAACCAATGAATACATAAATAATTGGAACAATGAATTGATGTTTCTCTTTCTCTCCCCCTTTCTCTCTCTCAAATCAATCAATAAATAAAAATTAAAAAAGAAAAATAGCTTTATTACCATACATACACATATGCAATTTTATCCTGAATGCATAGTACAAACAACATGGATCTCTGCATTTTGGTAATTGTTATTCCAAAATCGAATCATATTATGGACTTCTGTGCACCTCACTTTCTTCATTCATTAAACTTGTCACTACCTGACCCTGGCCGGGTGGCTCAGTTGGTTGGAGCGCTGACCTGTACACCAAGAAGTTGTGGGTTTGATCCCTGGTCAGGGCGTGTGTGAGAGTGAACTGATTGATGTTTCTCCCCCTCTGCCTCCCTTCCCTCCTCTCTAAAAATCAATAAGCATGTCCTTGGGTGGGGATAAAAAAAATAAAATCAATTTAAAAATATATCCTCAGGTGAGGATTAAAAAAATATTGTCACTACTTCACCTGATAGTGCTCTAATTTTTATTTTTTTCTAATTGTTCTTCAGTGGTTACATAATATTTTTTCTATTGGTTCATTCTTCTCTTAATTTGTTAAAGTTCCTTGACAGCTGTGGATATTAACTGTTTTCCACACTGTAAAATTCTCCCCGATTGTTTCCCTCTTGAGGTTGCCTTTCATTGTTAAAGTGTTAGGCTTTCAGATAGTCAAATATTGGTTATTTTTTAGTTTCTGGGTTTCCAGTCACTAGAATATACTTATATTCTACATTTTTGGGGGGGAAAGGCAGGATTTTAATTTCATTTAAATCTTACGTTCACTATATATGGTTTATTATTATTTTTAAATCCTCACCTGAGGTTATGTTTATTGATTTTTGACGGGGGTTGGTGGAAAGAGAATCATTGATCAGTTGTCTTCCACATGTGCCCCAACCACGGGTTGAATGTGCAACCTAGGTATGTTTTCCGACTGCGAACTGAACTGCAACCTTTACATGTATGGGAAGACGCCCCAAACAACTGGGCCACCCAGCCAGGGCTGGTTTATTTTCTTTTGTGTGTAAATTGGAAGTCCAATTTTATTTTTCCAGTTCTGTCAGCTTCATTAAAAAAAAATCCGTAACTTATTCCCATTGAAGTACTAACTTTGGCCATTTAATAAAATTTCCTATACATTGAGATCTACCTCTGGATTCACTGCTTGCTGCCCCTGGAGTGTTGACTACTCCATATACCAAGCTATGCTGACATAATTCCAGCTGTTTCACAGCATGTTTTCCGATATCTGAGAAACACTGATTAGTTGTTCCACTCATTTTTGCATTTATTTGTTGCTCCTTGTATGTGCCTTGACCAGGGATCTAACCTGCAACCGTGGTGAATTGGGATGACGCTCTAACCAACTGAACTACCCAGTCAGGGATCCCCCATTCCCTTTTAAATAAAAAACTATTGGCTATTCTTGGGCACTTTACAGAAACAAAAAACTTGTTGGGATTCTAATTGGAATTGCATTCTATCTTTTTTTCAGAATTGACCTTTAGGATATACTAAATTTTCCCATTTAAGAGCATGGTGTCTTGTTTGGAGCTTGGTTTTTGTCCTTAACTAAGGTCTTGTAGATTTCTTCAAATAGGTCTCGCACCATTCTTTTGTGTGCCAATCTTGTTAAACTTATTCCTAAATGTCTTCTAGCTTTAGTTATTTTAGATAGAATATTTTCAGTGCTTTTGCTTTAAAATATTTCTCTATTATCTCTCTTCCTAAATTCTCTTAATTCCATCACATCTCTAGTATGTCTTGATTTTTTTAGGCACTTATGATCTAAAAGGTCTTTTTTTTTTTTTTTTTTAAATCAGTGTTATCTTCTTGAGTGCCCTAAAACCATTGTTAGTGGGCATCCCTGTTTAGTTCTTGATACTAATTGAAATTATTTTAGTGATTAACTATTGGGATACTTACTGGTATTCCATTACTGTTTTTAAAAGAATGACTGCTGAAATTTAATCAAACTTCTTTCAGCATGTTGATATAATCACATTTTTTCATTAATTTGTTAATGTAATGAGTTATGTTGATAGATTCTCTCTTAAACCAAACTTGTGCTCCTGGAATAAACCCTATTTGGTTAGCGTGTACATATATATTTTTATGGTTACTCCTACCCATTTAAATTTTTTTTTTCTTTTTAAATTGAATTCATTGAGGTAACATTGGTTAGTAAAGTTATATAGATTTCAGGTATACAATAATATAATAGATAATCTGTCTATTGTATTCACCACCCCAAGTCTCCTTCCATTACCATTTATTGGCCCTATACTCTCTCTGCCTCTCCCCACCCCTTTCCCTCTGCTAATCACTATAGTATTGCCTGTCTCTTTTTAAATTTTTTTTGCATAATCCCTTAACCTTTTTCACCCACCCACATTTTATCAGGTTTTATATTAATAAAAGCAATTATTTTACATGAATTGAAAATTTCACTTTCTTCCTATGGCCCAGGATCATTTAAATAACATTGGACCAGCTGGTCCTTGCCCTCCCCACCTCCTAACTCTCTTGATCAAGAGCTGGCGTTTTCCTTTTTTTAAAAAGCCCCTGCTTTTGGATCTATTCTTTTAAGTTTGTTTTCTGTTTCAATAACTTGTATCTTTAATTTTTAGGATGCATTCTAGGTTTGTTTTTTTTTAAATGAAAGCATGTAGTTATACATTTTCCTCAGAGCACCCTTGCTGGTGTCTCATAGATTTGAGGACCCTGTGTTTCGGAAACTGTTTTCTAACTTATTCCAAACCCCCATGGGGCAGGGCTCGGGCTCTTGAGAGCAGGGGCCATGCCTGCCACAGGGACCCAGGACTGAAGTAGTGTGGGCACAGAGTAAGGCGCGAGTGAGTATCTGACTAGAAGGGTAGATAAATGGACAGAGTGAAGTGAACAGGAGGGACCAGAGGTTAGGGGCGCATGAAGTCACACAGCTTACAGCAGAGCAGCCTGAAAACCCAGGCCTCACAGTTCTAAGTCTAGTAATCTATCAGTTCACTAGGGGACCTGCAGAGCGAGGATGGACCTGCTTCTTGAGGTACAGCAGAACTGAAACAGAGCTAGGGACACATTCTAGGGAAATATGAGTAATGGGTGCTGGCGCTGAGCAGAAAGGAAGCTTCAAGGTGACCCCTCTCTTTAGCAATGGGAGGGCATGAGTTTGTCAAAGGCCTGGTGGAGGGAGAGAGATGATGATTCTGGGTCTCCTGGGAAGTGTTGGGCATGCTCAACAATTAAGAGGAAAACGGTGGTTTTCTAGGCTTAGGTGGCTGGTGCCTTTACAGCCATCTGGGACCCAAAGGGCAAGCCAAAGGACTCCCACTGGCGCTTTAAGCCTGGTTGGTAGGCTGAGAGGACAATGGCTCAGAAACCCCTCCAGACCTTAGCACTTCTCCCTCTGCCCCCAGGGAGGCGGCAGGACCAACTATCTGACCACCCCCTACGCACTGGCTGGGGCAGCAGTGGGTGATGGGGAAAGCTTGCCCCAGCCCCCTCCCTGGGAGCCTACAGCACTGAAGAACAGGACTGGGTTTGGGGCGGGGTGGGGGGGCGCTTCTGAGCTCTCCACCCTAACCCAAGAAGCCCTTTGAAAGGTTTTCCTGGCAGAGTTTAAAGCTTCAATTCATTCAACAGCCTGGCATGAGGCCCAGGAGGAGGGAATGCTGGGAAGGCCCCAGCCCCACATCCCAGCCTTCACCTTAGCTGCCCCCACTTCCTGGGGACCTGGGCTGGCAGGCCATCCCTTGCTCGCTCTTTGCTCTTTTCATCCTCATCGAATAGCACCCACCCTCTTCCTCTCAGGAACATAGGTATCCGGCCCAGTCTCTGTGGAGCAGATGGCTCCCCCAGAGGCTCAGGCTTGCTAAATCATTTAAATCCCATAATCCTTGGTGAGTGGCTGCAAGGGGGCAGTAGCCGAATCCTAGAAGCAGGGGCAGGAGAGAACCTTGTGCCAGCCCTGGCAGGAGGGGAGGAGGGACTGAGCTACGGGAGTCACCCCGTCCCTTGTTGTCATGCAGCCTGCAGACTGACCCAGTCTCCAGCTTTTGTTCTCCTCCTGGAACGGGGTGTGGGTCCCCGCCAGCCTGCATTCCCTGGAGGCTCAGGTGGCTGCCTCCCAATGTCACTTCCATAATTCACCCCAGCACCGCGGGCTCCAGGCGCAGCCAGGACTGGTACTCACCCTCAGACACACAGGTGTAAGGAAATTTTTATTGTAAAATAATAAACAAATATAAAAACAGTGGTATAAAAGGGGGAAGAGAAGGGGTGCTGGTGAGGAATACAGATGTGCCTCAGAGTATAAAAGAAACTGATCCTGAGTATTTGGGGGAAGCCAAACAGATCTTAGAAAATACAGATCCTACACGAGGGATGGAATCTTCCAGGGTGTGTGATGGGATGAGATGTCTTCTTAGGTACTGAGGTTAACCAAAAGGTGAAGACAAGATCTGGCCGGGCCAGCTGCCCAGTCAGAGAAACCGTTAATCCATTTGCCAGTGGGGACAGGAAATCAGCACGCCTGAGAGAGCCTAGTCCCAAACATACGTTATTTCATTAATCCTCACAATAAGCCCCGTGAGGTAGGTATGATTATTGGCATTTTATCAATGTGGACAATGAAGTTAGGAGAAATTACATAACTTGGGATAGCTTCCCTGGCTAGCTTCCTACCCAGTGTATGGCTGATTTGAAACTTAAGCCTCACATGCAGGAACGTTTCCTACTTCACCCAGTCTTCACAGTAAAAACCTTAAAAGCTAAGCTCCCCCCCACCTCCCCCCAAAATCACCAGTTTACGCCAACTTCTTTAGCAGAATCCTAGGTCTAAGCAAGCAAAATTCTGGGGTGTTTCTGAGGCACACCTGTACCAAGCAGAGGTTTAAGCTCCTAAGCCCCCAAAAATGCCAGGAAAAGGGGACAAGGGTAGGGGTGTCAAGAGGGGACAGGAAGCAGAAGATATCAGTCTGAGTCAGGTCCCTCTCTCTTGAACATGAGTTTTTTATGGCGGGGGGTAGACTGCCCCTTTTTAGACTTCGAGTGGCTGTGGAGATAGAAGAGGGAGGGGAGGAGATGACACCATCTGAGTGAGAGGCTCAGGAGCCTTCTTCCTAGGTCTAGGCTTTGAAGGGCCTGAGGCTGGAGCAAGGGAAGGTTCAGTTAAAAGAGTCACCATCCACTGCAGGCACGTTTACAGAGCACCTGGGGTACTTGTGTGTATTAATCTCCTAATCTTCCCTCATCCTATTTGACAAATAAGGAACCTGAGTTTGGGGGCGGGGAAGGTAACAAGGCCCACCCAGGACTTGCTAGTACCAAACTCCAGCTCTGTCCAGTGCTTCCACAGTGACCAGGCCCCTTTCGGACACCCCTGCTCTGAGACAGAGGTTGCTAGAAATGGCAAAGAAATATTCATGTTCATTTTTGGGCTTGAGGGGTTTGCGGACCACCTCCCCCTCCCCCAACCCCCAGGAAGAAATAGAAGTGTTTGGTTGTATGATTCAACTACAGTAAGATTAAAGAACACTTGGGCATGGCCCAGGAGAGAGGAGTTCAGTTGCCCTTTACCTTGAAGGAGGCAGGATTAGAACGGAATCCCTGGCTTCCCAGCAGAGAAGTGCAGGAGAAGGGGCTGGGAGAGGACCCAGGCCACTCACCTGCAGTGAGTCTTGCTTTCCCCTGGGTCCTTTGCAGCCTGGGCGTCCTTTAGCTCTAAGGCTTCATTCAGTTCTTGGAACATCTGGAAGCGTTTACGCCCACGGATCTGAGGTAGGGGAGGAGGAGGACAAGGAAGTATGAAAGTCATAGAACCATTTTCATGCTCTTTCAAAATTCTCATTTTGAAAGATGATCCTTTAAAATGGTATGGTACCAACTGGCCTTCTGAAATTAGACACTTTTCTTTAGGCACCACTACCCCCTGATGGTAAATGCCCTAATTGCAAGGAAAGTAGCCAGGTAGAAATGGGCATTTTGAGTGCTAGACCTGAATCTTTTTCTTTTATTTTAAAGAGGCTTAAAACAATACACATTTATTATCTTTCAGTTTTATATGTCCTGAGTCTGACATAAATCTCACAGGGCTGAAAGCTAGGTGGTAGCAGCCTGCATACTCTTGCAGGCTTTAAGGTCGCACCCACTCCCTTGCTCATTATTCAGATTGCTGTCTGAATCCAGTTTCCTGTGGTTGTCATTTTCTTGCTGGCAACCAGGAGAGGGCTGTTGCCAGTTTCTAGAGGGCACCCAAGTTCCTTGACTGCAGGTAAGACAAACTGTTATCTTTACTGAACTTCTTAGGGTTCTTTTTGGCTGGGCCTTAAACCAAGTTCCTTTTCCTCCAACTAACCATTCAGTGCACATGTTGATCCTGAACAAGGGTACCAGCTACTCTGCTAGGTGCTGGGGCTGCACACATGATTCACACATGGTTCTTGCCTGCAAAGGTGGAAGCAACTTCATTCCAGGCTCATTATATTTCTACTTAGGCTCCTTGTGTTCAACTTGAAACTTCATCTTAAGATGACCAGAGAAAATGACAGATGGGGAATCTGGCTTAACCTCATAGTTGCTACATTTACATCTTTTATTCCATTATCCAATCCCACTGACCAGGGGCAAGAGACCGCCTATCTTCCTTTCCCAGACTTGGTACCTTAAGGGTGAAATATTCTCCATCCACTGGCATCTTTGGCGGAGGAGAGGAGTCGGTGTTGGTGGGCAGTGCTGGGAAAGAGGTAAGGAATGGTTAGAAGAGTGAATTTGGGGCAGAACTGCACCCTCTCCACTTCCTTTTGTGCTGTTTGCTTACTTCGCTTAGTGCTCCCAGAGGGCTGCTTGGGACAAGGTTCCCGCTTCTTCTGGAAATTTTCTTCCTCTGTGCGCCGGTCTCTCCCAGGACAGGCGCAAACACGCACCTCAAAGCTGTCCCGTCCCAGCAGATTACCACTACCCAGGTAAGCAGAGGGGGCAGTTAAGAAGGTGGGTGCTACCTGTAATAAACCCGGCCCCACCTACCCCAAACCACCTTCATCCCATGTGGAGCCTCATTTTCAGCTCCAGGTATATGGATAAGCCACAGGTTAAAGAGGTTATAAAGCCTGAGAAAGAAAACTGGGAAGGAGCAACGAAGGAGGCTCTACTTGTAAGGATGGGAGAGGGAAGGCTGGCTGGTGGTGCTGGAGGAAATGGCTGAGGGGTGGGGCTCAGGAGACACAGGCAGGAAAGGGGGAGGAGCATGGCGGCATGACAGGTGGGGTGCAGATCCCTACCTGGAGTCTTCCATTGTGATGATGGTGACAATGGGTCGCCGGTTCATGCCCCCCATGCAGGAGCTGTTACACATGAAGTTGTAGTGGATGGTGGTACAGTCAGAGCCCACCTGGGAGAGAACAGAGATGCCACCCAGCCCTGATAAGCTGCACTTCCAGCTGTGGGATGGGGTTACCCCACCTGCTGCTCTGCACACATCCCATGAGGGTGGCCACTGACAAACCCCTCTAGCCCCCTTCTCCCAGAGACCCCAGTTGCCAAACCAGACCTCAGGCATTTCATAGGGCACCACCACACTGTGACGAAAAGTGTTCCTGTCCTCCAGATACGTGGCGTGCAAATTCCCTTCCACCCGGATAAGATGCTGAGGAGGAGCCGGACCTAAGAGTAATTAGGGAAGAATCAGGCACTCGGGGGATCGGGCAACAGCCCTTTCCCATCTGCAGCCCCCCATTGCTCACCATCGCTAGAGTCAGAGCAGCGCTCGTGGTGGGGGCAGCGCCTCACGACCTCTGTCATGTGCTCAGACTTCTTATAAATGGCCATGGCCCGGATCCGGGTTCCGGGCGGGGGCGGGGAGCTAACCCACAGCTGCACGGGGCAGGTCTTTGCCAGCTGGCAGAACAGCTTCTTGAGGATAGGAGAGTACTGCAGGAAAAGGAGAAAGAGTGAATGGGCCCTGACCAGGTAGCTCAGTTGGTTGGGGTGCTGTCTTGATATGCCCAGGTTGCGAGTTCCATTCCAGTTTGATCCCCAGTCAGGGCACGTACGAGAATCGACCAGTGAATGCATAAGTATGTGGAATGGGAATAACAAATCAATGTTTCTTTCTCTCTCTCAAATCACTCAATCAATCGATTGGTCAGTCAATCAAGAAAAGAATGAAAGGTCAAGGAACAAGCATCCAGGAGGTCAAACGAACAAATGCTACTTAAGCACCCGCTGAAAGCCATGCACTGTATGGGGAGGGGGCTGGAGATGGCAGACCTGGGGATCCGCATCCCAGAAGCTTATTTATGGAAGCTATTAAGGATTGAAAGAGAGTGTAGGGAAAAAAAGAAAAAAAAAAAAATTCCATGGCCCCATGAGAGATGTTGAGTATGAAGAGGAGAAAAGCCCAAGGTCAAGGGGGAAAATTTAACTTTGGGGCAGAGGTCAAAGGTCACAGGCTAAATGGATAGAATGTAGAAAGATAAGCCAAAGGCTGAGAGAAATTCCAGGGTTCTGAACAGAAAAACCCAGGAGGATATGGTCAGGCATTGAACTATCACATGGAAGCCAGCCCCTCAGGGCCACTGACCGTGCAGGTTACAGACTTGGCCGTCCCAGAATTCAGGAATCCTAGACGGAAACCATATCTGCCAGGGTAGGTCTTCTGGGAAGGGACACAGGATGACAAGGGCAAGGAGCTGGCTGGAGCTGGCGAGGTGGATGGTGCCAGAACATCAGCTGCTGGTGCAGGAGTTGCTGGCATACTGGGGACTTCATTCGGATCTTTGTCCAGACAGTTTACAAGGTGTGGGGACAGCAGTTCATCAATGGGTACCTCTGGAGTCTGTGAATGAGAGAAACAATCAGAGAGCCAGGTTCCCAGCCTGTTGGCCCTGCAGCCCTCGGTCCTGTCCCACCCCTATTCCTTACCAGGACATTGTTTTCATGAAGTCTGAAAAGACAAGAAGAGAAAAGTCAGTACAGGCCTCTACTACCAGGGCCTGGGCACTGGGGTGGGGTAGGCAGGGCGGGGCAATTGTTATTAGAGGCTGGGCAGTGAGCCCCTGCCCCCCGCCCCCCAGCCGAGACCTCCACTCACAGATTCCACAGTTCTGAAAATGTCTCCTGACTCAGTGGGGACTCCATGGGCTCTGACTGTGACTCCTCCATTGCAGCTCCCTGGAAGGCAGTGTGGTTGCTGTGTGGGGGTAGGGGGTCCACTGAGCATCCAGCATGAGACACACCCAACACCAGTCACCCAGCGCAGAGCAGCAGAACCCCGCCCACCAACACCATGCCAGGCTGAGACACAGGAAGTCACCTAACTTCCTGAGGAGCAGGGCTGCTCCTTCACAGCTTCTCTCTTATCATAACCTCGGTTGCTCCTTGACCTACCTCTCACCAGCCTCACTATACACTTCAAAAGGATAACTAGAGAGGGATGTCCAATCTTCCCACCAATAAATCCACCAGCCTTCCTGAAAAGCACGCAGTGACTCTCAGCCCACTTCCTCCATCTGGGGGGAGAGATACCTTCCTTGACGCCCGGCACCCCCCACCTGAACCCCTTCATGGCAAAGGTTCCTGAAGAAACACTATATGCGCTTTCACCCCTGGCTTACGAACCCCTCGTGACCAGGCTCCTGCCCGCTTCTTTGATCTCATCTCCTCACTCTCTCCCTTCCCTGATGCTCCCGAGCTACACTGGCTGCCCTTCTCTCTCCAGTTCACCCAATTGTCAGTCCTCTCTACTGGGAACACTGGTCCCACCATCGCTGCAGAATAGGTTTCTTCTTGGACCTCAACTTAAATGCTCCACCTCCTCAAGGGTGTTTTCCCAGACCAGTCTTCCAGCCAAACTCTGCCACCCTATTTTAATTCCTATGGTACTTACACTGTCCAATAATTCTAGTACCTTCCCTTGTTCATTTCATCGGTTTTCTTCAGTTGAGTATAAACTTCGTCAGGACAAGGACGTTCTCTCTCTCTTTTTTAAAGCAATGATTTTAGAGAAACACTGATTTGCTGTTCCACTTATTTATGCATTCACTGATTGATTCTTGTACGTGCCCTGATGGGGGATCAAACCTATACCCTTGGTGTATCAGGATGATGGTTTAACCAACCGGTCAGGGTGGAAGTTATCAATCTTGTTCGTCATAGTGTTAGCATAATGCCTTGTGCCTGGTTGCGCTCAGTAACTGGTGACTTGTGCCCAGGCTGTGACCAGGTTATGAGTGCCCAAAAAGTAAGAAGGGCAGAGGGGTGACCACAACATGGGCCAGGGCTCTGTACTAAGCTCTATTGCTGTCATTTCACCTTCTCCCAGGCCAGCTTACAAACGGCTTTATCGTCTTTCTTGATGACAAATTTGTCATCAGCTTTGTTAAGAAACACATCTGCTGCAAATTACACCTGTCTTTCTATCTTTCGGGCACTGGCAACCCCCACCTTCCACCCCAGCAAGCCCATTATTGGCAGGCTCTTTTCTAATTTCTTTTAACATCACCTCTACTTTTACATTGATACAGGGCTTTCTTATGTAATTACCTCACAAAATCCTTTCAATCTTATTTGTCCTGATAGCTACACCTGTCATTTGACTAGAGAAAGCTGTCTCAAAGAGGTTAAGGTGACCTAGCCCAGAGTACACACAGGTCAGCAAATAAACTTTTATTAAAAATGACTGCCCTGGTGAGTACATCAAAAGGATGGGGGTTCAATTCCTGGTCGCAGCATGTATGGAAGGCAACCAATCAATGTTTTCCTTTCCCTCTGGCCCCCTTGCTCTTTAAAAGCAATCGGGGAGAGGGGAAAGACCAGCCCTAGCTGGGAAGCTCAGTTGATTTGATCCCTGGTTAGGGCACACAAAACAAGCAACTAAGGAACACATAAATACCTGGGACAAGTCAATTAAAAAAAATTAAAAAAAAAAAAAAAAAAAAAAAAAAAAAGACCATTCAGCCTGACTGGTGTGTCTCTGACTTGGGCACAGGCCTGGGTTGTGGGTCAGGTCCCTGGATGGGGGCATGTGAAAGGCAACCGATGGATGTTTCTCTCCTGCTTCCTCCCCTCCTCCCCCTCTAAAAAATAAATTTTTAAATATATTTTAATATTTAAAAAATATTTTATTTTTAGAGAGAGGGTAAGGGAGAGAGAAACATCAATGTGTGGTTGCCTCTTGCATGCCCCCTACTGGGGACCTGGCCCACAACCCAGGCATGTGTCCTGACTGGGAATCTAATCAGCGCTTTGGTTTGCACGCCTGCACTCAAATCCACTTAGCCACACCAGCCAGGGCTAATTTTTTTTCTCTTAAAAAGACCATTCCAACATCTAGAGGTAAGATGCTTACTTCATCACAGACTACTCTTCAGATGCAGATGTTAGTGGACAAAAGCTACCCAACTGAGAGGGTGGCAGAGAACCACTTATCAGAACTCCCAACCCTGATGGGGGAAGGACTATGTATGTGCACAAAGGAAGGCAAGAGGGGGCAGCAAAGGAGTGATCCCGAATAATTGGGTGGGTGGGGCAGAAGTACCAGATTTATGATAAAAAAATCGAGACTTTTATGGAAGGGTGCTCAAGTGAATGGGGCTCAGAAGTCAAATGCCCTAGGTTTGATAAACTGTTATTTATATTTGCTGTGACCTTACCTACTTATCTTAAAGGGCTTTTTGGCTTCTTCACGTACAGAAACTACCCAGGGGCTGGGAAGCATGGACATCTGTAGCACAGCACAGGCAAGAGACAGGCTTGCCTCCCAGGCTCATAACGTGGGAGGTTAATCTTTCTGTGTTCTTTGCTATAAAATAGTAGTACTTTACTTTGTATGGGAAATATAGAGCTGAGAAAAGCACCTGGCAGATAGTAAGAGTTGATAAGTGTTCCTGTTTACATGGCGGTTCCTTTTTATTTGTTCTATATTATTAATCTAGAGCAAGAACTTTGTGATTGTGAATGGGTGGGGCTTTTGTGGTACTGTCCCATTAATGCCAGTTCACCTCCTTCAGGGAACTCGATTCTGCAAATGTGCCTGGCGGGTCTATCTTGGGGCGGTGTCCCCAAGGACATAGAAGGCCTCCCCATCTCAGTTTTTGGTAGCAACTAAACTCTCAATGCTACTTAAAATAACAGGCACAGCCCTGGCTGGTGTGGACTGAGTGCCAGCCTGTGAAACAAAGGGTCACTGCTTTGATTGCTAGCGAGGGCACATGCCTGAGTTGCAGGCCAGGTCCCTGGTAAGGGGTGCGTGAGAGGCAATCACACACTGATGTCCTTTCCCCACTCTGAAAAAATAGGAAACCTTTTCAGAGTAGGCACTTCCCATGGGTGTGTGCATCAGAAAGCCAGGATACTAAAACTGTCAGAAGCTGAACCAAAGGCTTCCTTTGGCTGGGGAGATAGAATGTATACAGGCAGTTCCAGTTGGAACTCCAAGGCGGGGCAGGTCAGACAACTATCATAACAATGGCTGCTGCCTATAGGCCCTAAACTTTCAGTGGCTTATGCCATTAATCCTCTCAAAAAAGCCAGGAAGGTAGGAATTGTCATCAGTCGAGGGACTAAGGTTATGGCTACACTCAAGCTCTAAATAATCATGCTCCCACAGCTTCATCCAGACTGGTGTAAAACGTTTTTGGCGGAAAGCCATTTGATTGTGGAAACAATTGTGGAAAATAGTAAGGCAGTGTCCGGCAAAACTACCCCCCGCCCCCACTGAGCAAAACCACTTCTAGGTAGACTCCTAGGAAAATGGTTGCACATGGGGCAGCAGGAGTCTTGAACAAAAATGTTCGTGTTGATGCTGTTCCTGATGGCAGGCGACAAGAAACAACATCGCTCCCCATCAATAGGGTCTGGCTAAACTAAAGGTGGTATACTCACACGAGAAATTTAACAGCAGTTTAAGGAAATGAATTTATCTGCAGGTGTAACCTGATATAGCTCAGAAATATGTTGAGTGAAAAATACAATTTTCTAAAAAAAAAGCAAAACATGGTAATTTACGTAGTTTATGTACATTAAAAATACAAAACCACCCTAGCTGGTGTGGCTCAGTTAGCTGGATCCACACTAGCCTAGTCATCTCATACACCAAAAGGTTGGGGGTTTCTAGGTTACATGTTAGAACCCCAGTCGCAGCACCTCTGGGAGGCAACCAATCCATGTCTGTCTCTCTCTCCCCATCACTCCCTTACTTTTTCTCTGAAAACAACTATTACTTAAAAATATATGTATACAAAAGTATGAAAACAGGCAAGAACAATAAAAATTCACAAGACTATGACAGTGATGGACTCAGAAAGGGGATATCTGTACTCATGGGACTGGGGGCTTTAGCTTTATCGACAAAGGAAAATAAGATGATATCCATATATTACCTTTGCAATTAAAATAAGGACACAAATAAGACAAAATAGTAAATGTTATATATTTATTTGGTGGGAGTGAGTGTTACCTTTGTACTTGTCTGCATTTATAAAAAAATCTAAAAAATAAAAACAAGAAATAACCTTTCCCCCACAGATTCACTTTGGGGTCTTTGCAGAAAAATCACTTGAATTTTCTGGGGCGATGAAAACGTTCTATATTTTGAAATCTTCTAATTGCAGTAGGTCTAAATGAGACCTCAATTTAGGAAAAAAGCAAACACATTAGGTACCGCGCACAGTGACTGGTTCTTAGGAGGTGCGTGGCAAATCACTGCTGAATGGAATGACCTTGGCCTAAGGGATGAAGATGCAGGGGAAATGGTTAAGCTTTGGACTTCGCAAGGGCGCTGCCCCTCTCACAAGCAACAACAACTAGCCGGACTGGGAGGCACTTAGGACCACCCGGCTGCTCCTCCCCAAGGCCCGCCCCTTCCGCTTTCACGACGTTCAGCTTGCGTCCGAAGTTGAAATGGCTTAATCCAAAACCGGATACAAGAGTTGTTTCTCCGCCATAAATGACCCATCGTTACACTCTTTAATTTTTAATTCTCAAACGTACTCTTTCGCGAAAATACCCAGGGTTTGACCTGTGCGCACTTACAAAAACAGAAAGTCCCACGCAATGGTAGCGTCCGTCAAGACTGTAAGTCCCTTGGGTGGAGCACACCATTCGAAGAGGGGGAGGGGTTGAGGTTTGCATCAAAACAAATAACCCTCCCTTTCTTCCCAAATGCCGTAATTAAGCACTCGAGGAAGAAAACAAAAAGTAGGGGAGGGGATTACCAGCCTCCTTCCGCTAGTAATAGGTATCAGTCTAAAAGATATTTTCTCTTTTTCCTTCCCTCTCATCGAGTGAATATGAACTGCTCCGAAGGAAGAAACCGGAAATGGTCCTGGAAGTGGCAGAAATGTGAATGTAGAGCCAAACAATAACAGGGCTTCCGGGCCTCTCAGACCAGGGAAAACTCTGGTTTCGCGGGCGAACCTTTCATTTAGCTCTTCCCACTTCCACGACTGACGGTATTTAATTGGATTTTCTCCGTTTAGCGGAGCTGGGGGCCTGGTTAAAAACTAACTCCAGGAAAGACAAAGGTCCGGAAGTCATGGGACCTTCTTTAGCAGCGTGGGCTTCCAGATCACCCCGATTCATAGTATCAGAATGTAGCCCAAGATTCCACCAGGATGCTCTGTGTTCTAAAATCTAGAGCCGTAAGTTTCGAGATCCTACAGCCTCAGACCTTGATGATTTGTGCCTCTTATTTCAGGATTCCCCACACCCGACACTGGGATGGGGATGGTAATACATTGGTAGGAAGAATCCCTAAGCCAGAGGAAAGTCCTCAAAAGTTCCACTTCCTCGCCCAGGTGTTCAGGTTTGTGTTCGGCTGTTCCTAACATCCGGTTATCTACACTCAGGCCTCCCAACATAGCAGCCAAGCTTCTACCCGCACCCCCTTCCCCAATCAAGTCCCCAGTGCCCAATCTCCAGCCCTCACGATTCTCCCTAGTTGAAAATATACAGAACCGAGAGTTCATGACAGAGAGGACTCACCGCGCTCAGTCAATAGCTTACCTGAACCCCAGGAGAGTGTATCACCGTCCCGGGATGCACGCTGCAAGACCTGATACCAGGTGACCCCGGAGGCCCAGGGCACACCTGCGTCCAGCACCGCGGCTGTGGACTTTTGAGCTCTAAACTTTTAGCGCCAGTCGGAGCACATGGGAGGGGAAATCCCAATCCCAGCAACCCTCGCGAGACTCCTGGCACAAAGCTGGACAGTGGCCATGACAAGTAAGGGCAATTTATTCGCCGGAGGGCGGAGGCAACGGGAAAGGAAAGTGGGAGAGAAGGGCACCGAGAATGTCTGGGTTCGCGCCGTATTGGTGCTGTAGTTACCGACATTTTGGGATGGGCAAGTTAGATAAGCCAAAGTCGTGAGGATAGAATTGGTGGAAACCATTTTAGAAGACTCCTGGACCCCTACCACTGTGTCAAATATGAAGGTGGAACGAAAAAAGCCGTTATAGTTGGCCTTCCCTCTGCCTGGTACACGCCTCTCCCAGATAGCTGGATAGTTTCTTCTCTGCTTTTAGGAAGGCCTTCATTAAGATCCCAATGTAATGTATTTCCCCTAATACTCTATATCACACCATTAAAAAAAAGATTTTATTTATTTTTAGAGAGAGGGGAAGGCAGGGAGAAAGGGAGAGAAACATCGATGTGCAAAAGAAACGTCCATCGCTTGCCTCTCCCATGCCCCCAGTTGGGGACCCGCCCGCAACCCAGGCATGTGCCCTGACTGGGAATCCAACCAGCGAATTGGCAGGCCGGCGCTCATCCACTGAATCACACCAGCCAGGACACCATCTTTTTTTTCTTAGGATAATTTTATTTTTAATTTTTATTTATTTTTATTGTTTATTGTTGACACCGTTACATAAATCCCCCATTTCTCCCCCATTACCCCCTATACCTAGCCCCTGCCCGCCATATCACATCTTGATTTATCTTCACAACCCTTATTACTCCTTGAAAAGATTTGCTCCTTGTCTTAGATACACAGCAACGTAAACTTTAGTCTACTGTCTTATTCAGTGTTGTATTTTCCATTGCCTAGCACAGTACTGGGAAGCAACTAAGATCTCAGTAATAAAAATTAGTTGAATGAATGAAGAGACGGAAGTGTGAGGAACTTGGTGAATGAAATGCAAAAGTTCACTACCCGTAAAATCAAACATGGCGCTAGCACCCTCTTCAGGTGAAGTGGTGAGTAGGTGCTTTAAAAATAACCGCGGAAGCTCAGGCACTTCTCGCCCAGGAAGAATCTTTCAGATTAAAATTCCCAGTAGCCACTGAAAGTCCCACGCTTCGGGAACGGTGAACCGTGATTTGTTACGTCCCTGTACTGCCCCCTCCCATGGGTCCCCAGCGAAATGTGATCCGAGATGCGGAGGTCCAATCGAAAAGGTGGACCCAGATCCCGCGAGAGGAAGTGAGTGTCAAGACCAATCCAGCTAAGGTCCGCAGTGCTTTCATCACTGGTGTTCCCCCCCGTTAGTTTCGCCTTCCGAGGTCTTCTGCCCTCTCCCGGAAGAAGAAGGAAGGCACAGGTGGGTTTCCCCAGTCGGATCCCTGCGAGCTGTGAAGCTGTCTCGGCCGCTCCTCGGGCCAAGCAGATAGCTTGTAGCCAGTGGAAAGAAGGTTTCCTGGCCGAGGCCATATGCCTGCCGCGCTTCCTCTGCAATATGAAGACGCCGGAGGCGCCACCGTTAGCTCCCGACTGCCTGTCTTCAGACCAGGCCCCGACTTCAGCCTGTCTTTCTCCTCAGGCTTCCCCGATGGATAAAAATACGGACCCAGAACTGATGCCACTGCCAGCTGATGGGGAGGATCCGCCCCGCGTGTCCCCTGATCCCATGGCTAGCTCATCTGTGTCCCAGGAACTGGGGGAGGGAGATCCAGCTTCTCTCTCCACTTCCCTGGAAACAGGGTTTGGAACTCCTAGCGAGTTGAGCCTTCGAATCAAGGAGCAAGAACTTTCTGAAAATGTGAGCCTTCCTGCAGAGGAAACGAACAGGGCAGAATTGGGGCACGGAGAAGCCATGGAAGATGTGTCTGCAGAACCCGCTCTTGAGGATGAGGATTCCACGTAAGTGGTGATGGCAGTTGATTCAGGAATCCGAGAAGATTGGAAGTGTGAGATGGATGGAAGTGTGGGATATACCTTATCCTTCAGCCCTTCGTCCCAATTTTCCAGGCCTATTTCCTCTTTGCTTTGGCTACTCAGGTTTGTTGTCCCTCCATCTTCCTTCCAGCACTTGGAACTACAGCTTCTCCCAGCTACCTCAGTTTCTCAGTGGTTCCTGGTCGGAGTTCAGCACCCAGCCTGAGAACTTCTTGAAAGGCTGTAAGTGGTAAGGAAAATGGGGCAGGGAGATGAACACACCAGGATTTTCACTGTAAAATACCCCATTTATGTGGGAGTGAGAGTAAGAATCCCTCATTGACTGAACTTCAATTTCATCTAGGATAGTGTCTTTGGTTTCTCTCAAGGTCTTGGGGGGCTTACCAACCCCAGAGATGGGCTCAGCCCTAGCCCTGCACTTGGAAAATGTAGGTCTGCCCAGCTTTCTAACTCTTGCCTACTCCTAGGGCCCCCGATGGTTCCTGCATCTTGACCAATAGTGCTGATAATATCCTGCGGATTTATAACCTGCCCCCAGAGCTGTACAGTGAAGGGGAGCAGCTGGAATATGCAGAAATGGTAAGGGTAAGGGCTAAATCAGCCCCTTCATCCTTCATCAGACAATGAACATATTCTTCTTTTCCCCCCCAAAGTTTTATTTATTTATTTTTAGAGATGAGGGAAGGGAGGGAGAAAGAGGGAGAGAAATACTGGTTGGTTGCCTCTTGCCTTCCCCAAACAGGGGACCTGGTCCACAGCCCAGGCATGCGCCCCGAACAGGCTCCGCTCAGTCCACTGAGCCACACCAGCAGGGGCAGACACTGAACATTTTCTTTATCATGAATTTCCATAGGTAGTAGCATTTTTTTACCCTGAATTCTAAAGTCATTTAAGGAAGTGTTTGTCCTGCCCTGACCCATGTGGCTCAGTGGGTTGAGTGCCTTCCCGCAGTGTGAAAAGTGTCCTCTCACAGAGAGTAAGGTCACTGGTTCAACTCCAGGTCAGGGCACATTCCTGGGTTGCTGATTTGGTCCCCATTTGGGGCACATGCAAGAGACAGTTGATCAATGTTTTTCTCTTACATGGATGTTTTTCTCCCTTTCTCTTTCCTTTTTCCTCTCTCTAAATAAAAACGTAAAAAGTTAAAAAAAAAAGACCAAACAACAAACCCGTAACAGGAGATGTTTGTCCCTTCTTTAGTCAGGAATATGTGTTTTCCATAAAGGAGTAAAGTATTTCTCATGACAGTACATAACTGACTTACAGGTCTCTTTTTTCCACTTTATTTTAAGAATACATTTATTAAAGCTGGTGACAGTGAAACAAGGAAGGTCTTAGTATAGAAGGAGCAACAGGAGAGAGCCTAGGCAGGGCTGTTTTGTCTTTCTAGAAATGTTCTAAGAGAGGAATGCACCTAGTCGGGGCTGTTTTGGCTCACTGGAAAGTTAGAGAAAAGGGGCCTTGGGCCCTGGCCTGGTAGTTCAGTAGGTTAGAGCAGCATGTGGACATGCCAAGGTTGTGGGTTTGATTCCCAGTCAGGGCACATACAAGAATAAGCCATTGAATGCATAAATAAGTGGAACAACAAATTGATGTTTCTTTCTCTCTTCCCCTTCTTCTCTCTCTACAAATCAGTGGGGTGGGGGGGAGGTTGGAGACAGGTTCAGGGGGTTAGCCTGGGATGAGCTCCGACTGCCCATTGCTCTCCTGGTTGCAACTCTCCTGGGGACCCTTAGAGTTTAGGAGATGTACACCTGAGAGAGAAGAAAGGTATGGGCGTGCTCTGGAGAGGAAGAACAGCATCTACAGATGTTTATTGAATGAGTACCAATTTGTCGGTTACTGTTTGGTGCTAGGATAGTGGTGAATGAGATGGATGAGCTGGTTTGCTCTTTTGTTTGAGATATAGACAACAAACATGTAAACCAATAAATAATCAAGTTCATTAGAGATTATGTTAAATTCTCTGAAGGAGATAAACAGAGTGAGGAGAGACTAAGGAGAGGATACCACTTATATTAAAGGGTCAGGGTGAGGCCCTCTGTAAAGAAGACATTTAAGCAGAGATCTGAAGGATTAAGAGGTCAGCCATGTGAAGAATTGTAGAAAGAGCGTCCGGGGAGAGGCAGTGCCCTTCCAAGGACCAAGACCTGGGAAAGAGCTATGTGTGTTCCAGGATCAGAAAGAAGGAGACTTGACTTGGGTGGTGAATAAACAATACAGTGCACAGATGATGTGTTATAGAATTGTGCGCCTGAAACCTGTGTAATTTTGTTAACCAGTGTCACCCCAGTAAGTTCAATAAGGAGAAAAAAGAAAGAAGGCCAATGTGTCTGGATTGTAGCCAGTGATGGGGGAAGTGTGGGGCTGGAGAGATGGCTAGTAGCTACATTGTGTCAGATCTTGTGAGTAGGTCATTTGGAGTTTATTTGAGAAGCCATGGGAGAGTTTTAGAACGTAAGAGTGAGGTGATGGTGGAAGTTTAGAGGCTGGGTTGTAGGTGAGCAACAGTGAAATCAGGGAGACTTATTAGGATGCATTTTTCATGGTCCAGGCAAGAAATGATGTTGGCTTGGGCTTGGGTGGTGTCAGAAGAGATGGAGAGATGTGGATGGATTTGAAGTACACTTTGTAGGACTTGGAGGTCAATTGGATGTGAAGGTGCAGGGAAGGAAGCAATCAAGGCTGATGTCCAGATTTTGTTTTTTTTTTTAAAGATTTCATTCGTCCATTTTCAGACAGAGAGAAGATGGGAGGGAAAAAGAGGGAGAGAAACATCAATGTGTGCTTGCTTCTCATGCACTCCCAACTAGGGACCTGGCCCACAACCCAGGCATGTGCCCTGACCGGGAATTGAACCAGCGACCCTTTGGTTTGTAGGCTGGCACTCAATCCACTGAGCCACGCCAGCCAGGGTGATGTCCAGGATTTTGCAGCTAGGTGGATGGTGGTATGATTTACTCAGGAGAAAATAGACATATAAAAAGGTATTGGGGTTAGTCAAAGGTTTTTA